AATCTTTATATTGTAGTATTTAAAAGCAGAGTTGAGAATGCCAAAAATATCATTACCCTTTCATTCCAAGTATTTTATGATATTCAAACTCAAATGCATATTCCACAGTATTTGTGATAAGACTTCATTTATCAGGGTATATGTATTACATATGCATAATTAACCATTTGAATTAAATGTGGAAGTACATGTTACCCTTTATGTTGAAAATGAGTTAATTGATTGTATTTGAACATTTATAGTTCTTGTTTAGAGCTTTTATTTTGGTTTTTATTTTCCATTATTTTTTAGGGCTGCAACGATACAGGAATATCTCGATATTCTGGTCACGATACGATACGTATCTCCAAACGCAATGATAAAAAAAACAAGACTTAAAGAATGTCAAGATTGAACCTTTCATGATTTTGGAACAGTCAAAATTATTTTATAATAACAAGACTACTGAAATGGTTAGGCTTCAAAGTGGAACTTTCCTTAACTTTCCTTCAAAACAATTGAAACACTAGTTCAAACACTAGAAAATAATTAATGTACTTCACCAGTGATATAACTTCAAAGAATTTTGATGCAATGGTCGAATAAATTGTATCTGAAATTATTGTTTTATCAGGAATAATATATTCCAATATCGTGTTACTTTAGTTTACTATATATATTCTTAAAGTTATAAGAACCACAAGCGTAGGATTTTGGTACTGGTGATTATTGTTGCAGGATATTTATACGTATGGAACAATTTGACCAGTCACTGTAGGGGCTTCCCTCGCTACATGTATTTCGATTGCGAAAACGTTATGTCGACATATATTAGCCAAATTGCCACAAATATGACTTTTAACGAGTCAAAGTAGGGCATTGTTAATATATGTATCCATTATCTAGCAACTTAAGTTTGTTTCAGTGCGTCAAAAGAGGTAATCTGACCGTGGTTGCTGTTTCTCTTCACACACGATTTCACCTAACTTGATGAAAACAATATTAAATGAAATTTTGAATAAAATTAATAAAATATATTACAAACACAAGTCCAGATATACAATGAACACGTTTTAATAAAAAAGATAGTATAATAATGGTATTGAATTGCGTACTTCAGTTCGGATTTGCTGACCGGTGTTATGTGCTTGCGGTGATCAGCTGATAATGTTTTTGGAGATGGGGAAAAACACCTGTCAGTGTAAAACCTGAGCTTATTAAAAATGTAAGATTAGTACGTTTTTTGGAGCCATGCATTACCGCGCGCTTTAACCAAGTTAGCGGTTTATTGAAATGCACAATAGTAAGGAAACGCTGTACTTGAGATTTGCGTTCCGTATCGTGGCGTATCAATAAATAGGCCCACATTTATCGTATATCGTATCGTGGGTCAAGTATCGCGATGCATTGGAATATCGGTGTATCGTTTCACCCTTATTATTTTTGCAATTGATTTATATAAAATATGTAAGCCTAATAGCATCTCTATTGCTTTCTCTTGTTCCACTGTCCACAGTAGGGAGATTTGGCCTGTTTTGAATAACTCACTTCCAGGGCTGGAACAAGTAACAAATACTGCCTGTTACATGGGAGGGCAGAGTGTGGTCTGGGATCAAGATAATGGATATTATATTAGTAACTGAGCAAAACCACAGTGGAATTAGTCCTGCGCCATGACTGTGGAATTTATATAGATAAACTAGACTTGGTTTAGTTTGATCTAGACTTGCCTTGGCTTTTAGTAAAAAAATAATCTATTTTTTATTAAGGCTTTTAGTAAAAATAATATATATATAATATTTTTACTAAAAGCCAAGGCAAGTCTAGATCAAACTAAACCAAGTCTAGTTTCCTTATGAAAACAGCAGAAAGGGAAAGGTTCTTTCGAAGAATTTTTTAAATATTATTTTAAAGAAATGTTTTCATTTACAAAGTGTCTTGGTTGGAATATTTGACCATCAACCTATGCTTGTGATATAGATGATATAGGGGCAAGATGATGGATCAGGTGGTCAGGCGTGGTGACTTGATTGATTGCATGTCATCTTGCCCCGACAACTTCATTATCTACAGGCCTGCTCAATGCAGCCTTAAGAAACAGGGGCGGTCGGGTAGCCTAGTGGTTAAAGCGTTCGCTCGCCACGCAGAAGACCAGGGCTTGATTCCCGACATGGGTACAATGTGTGAAGCCCATTTCTGGTGTCCCCCGCCGTGATATTGCTGGAATATTGCTAAAAGCGGCGTAAAACCATACTCACTCACTCACTCAATGCAGCCTTAAGAAAAAGGGGTGGTCAGGTAGCCTAGTGGTTAAAGCGTTCACTCGCCACGCAGAAGACCCGGGTTCGATTCCTGACATGGGTACAATGTGTGAAGCCCATTTCTGGTGTCCCGCGCCGTGATATTGCTGGAATATTGCTAAAAGCGGCGTAAAACCATACTCACTCACTCACCTTAAAAAAACAAACAAATAAAGAAAATGATAACACCAATATGAATAGTTGATTGAAACGTGAATTTATTACCTTCTCTTAGTGAAAACCCCCATGATGTTGTCAGCCCAACAATCGACATTTGTGAGAGAGATACCATCTGTATATATCCTACCTCCTGTATTAGTAATATTGTTCACATGTAAATATATACGATCCATATTCTGCGTAACACATTTGATGAAGCAGGCAATCATTATGAGTATTTTCCATGCACCTGTGACAGGTGGCCAGGTGTTGCCAGATTGACTATCTATCTGCTGTGTACCCAACCAACATTGAATTTCTGGGATAGAAATTACAAATGTAGTTTTTTCAGGTGTGCTACGGCACTGATATAATGATATTTATTTGTGCCCTTTGGAATTAATTTATGCCAACCAGAAAAAAATGTCGCTGAAGAATACTTTAGAATGTGTTCATTGAGTGGGTTTGCCCAGTTTACTTGTGAAAAGTACATTTTCCACTGTTTGTAAAAAAACAAACCAACCTATTTACAGTTAAAGGGACTTTATTAAATGTAATTTAAGGTAAAGGAATCTTTTTTGACCATACCAAAGCGGTTTTTATAATTAATGCAAGGATTTTTGAACCCAGAATTTATTTAATATGATATTCTGGATTAGGAATATTGTAATCTCTGGTATTAGTGTGTGTATTTCTGTAGGTACGACACAAGAGACAATGTAGGTATTGAAATAGGACGGCACCAGGTGTGCATGGTTGAATAATGGTAACACAAATCAGATAACAGGAATATTTTTAGAAGTTGCACCAGCTCATGATAGAGTATCTGTATGTAGTGGCGGGAAGTTAAAGTGACATGCCAAACATTTGACCTTTTCAGCAGACAGATTAGTTCTTATCAATCATTTCGTACTGATGAATACAAGTATAGTAAAGTACGGTTATAACAAACTCGGAGGGACCACTCATTTTAGTGCGTGATAACCGTAGTTCGTTATAAGCATATATACAGCATGTATACAAACAAATGTCTAGGACTAAAAATAAGTTTGTTATATCAGTCAGTTCATTATAAGCATGTTCGTTATGAAAGTAGTTTACTGTACTTTTAGTTCTGATTTGATTAACTTTGCAATCAGGTTCAGATATGATCATGAAGGTTTAGTAGTTATTGTCATTTCCCTAGAGACAATAAAATATCCTGGGTGCCGTTGTACGAAGCCATCGTAGTGCTAAGGTGGTCGTAGCTCCCATACCTTAACATCAACTTACGACTGTCGTAGCGCTAAGGTTGTTTTGTACAACAGCACCCTGATGTGAACTTTTACCAGTTAGTGAATCAGGGGGGCCCTAGATTTATACCCCATACTGGGAGTATACCTCATGTGGGGAATCGAACCCGGGCCTTTGGTGTGGCAGACGAACACTTTAACCACCATGCTACCCCAACGCCCCAGTGTATGTAGTAAATGCTGTGTAAAACGGCAACATCACAAATAATTACGTTATATTATTATCCAAAAAATGGGCAGTATTTCCTGGTATTTATTACCTGTTCTGTTTTGAGATGGTAAAAGTGGGAAACAGAAAGTAAAAAAGAAAATCATTATATATATGTGTTGCAAAATTTGCTTTAGCATAATACCCTATAAAGAGTGTGTACACTTTCTCATCATACTGTAAAGCATAGAATGTGCTTGATAAACAAACTTTCTAAATGAGAATTGACAACACATAGTTTTGGTTTGGCTGTGATGACATGCACAGGAATTTGACAATTATGTTTATTCAAGAGTTTATAGTTTTTCTCAATTGGAAATACGTCAGATTAACATTTTGTGTAGAGGATTCAACACTATTTTCTATTCCTTTTGACTATGGAAAATATATGAATCGGTCTTGGATTGCTTAGTTACTCAGTATTAGCAGGGGGCACGGGTGGCCCAGTCGTCTAAGGCGCCGCGATTCGCTGTGCGGAGTTGCGTCCCTTGGGCACGCCAGAAACCTTGTGGGTTCGAATCCCGGTTCTCCTCAATTATGTTTCTAGGTTGTCAGCACCATACCTGTGCTCGTGGGTTTCAACGAAGTGGTAAAAGTCTGAGACCTGCATCAGTTCGGGCTTTCCTCCCACCATGTGCCCACATTAAGCTGAAACGCCATGATATAACTGGAATACTGTTAAAAGCGGTGTTAAACCCAACTCACTCACTCACTCACTCAGTATAAGCAGGAGGGTGTATGTTGTGGTGAAAATCTGCCATTCAACTGGAACTGGACTTGGAGGTTCAACAAGATTAGTCATAATGTTTTTACCAGTTACATTACTAGCAATGTAGTGTGCTGATAGATAATTTGACATTGTTGACATTGTCTTGGCATTATGAAAACCTTGGGTCATTTTATGTCAGTCACAATAACATACCTACCGTTGAGTGAAATTGGCAGTGTTCTGCAAGAAATATTGTGTACAGCTGTTTGATTGTAAATATGATTGGTTTTATATGCATAGTTGTGGTCATGTAGTTTTAGTTCAAATGTTGACAATTCTGTTTTTTATTTCAGCACGTTTGTCTGCCCAACAGAAATTATTGCATTCAGCGATCGGTCTGAAGAGTTCCGCAGCATCAACTGCGAGGTCCTTGGATGTTCCACAGACAGTGTGTACTCACATCTAGCATGGTAAGACTCACTCACTAACTCATGATTCTGCTCACATCTAGCATGGTAAGACTCACTCACTCACTCATGATTCTGCTCACATCTAGCATGGTAAGACTCACTCACTAACTCATGATCTTGCTCACATCTAGCATGGTAAAACTCCTCACAGGGTTCAGATAGAAATATGGTAACACCAAGCATGGTAGGACTCCTCACAGGGTTCTGGTAGAACCATGGTCACATCTATCATGGTCACTCACTCACGATCTTGCTCACATCTAGCATGGTAAGACTCACTCACTCACTCACTCACTCACGATCTTGCTCACATCTAGCATGGTAAGACTCACTCACTCACTCACTCACTCATGATCTTGCTCACATCTAGCATGGTAAGAGTCACTCACTCACTCATGATCTTGCTCACATCTAGCATGGTAAGACTCACTCACTCACTCATGATCTTGCTCACATCTATCATGGTAAGACTCCTCACAGGGTTCAGATAGAAATATGGTAACACCAAGCATGGTAGGACTCCTCACAGGGTTCTGGTAGAACCATGGTCACATCTATCATGGTAGGACTTCTCACAGGGTTCTGGTAGAACCATGGTCACATCTATCATGGTAAGACTCCTCACAGGGTTCTGATAGAACCATGGTCACATCTATCCTGGTAGGACTCCTCACAGGGTTCTGGTAGAACCATGGTCACATCTATCATGGTAGGACTCCTCACAGGGTTCTGGTAGAACCATGGTCACATCTATCATGGTAGGACTCCTCACAGGGTTCTGATAGAACCATGGTCATATCTATCATGGTAGGACTCCTCACAGGGTTCTGGTAGAACCATGGTCACATCTATCATGGTAGGACTCCTCACAGGGTTCTGGTAGAACCATGGTCACATCTATCATGGTAGGACTCCTCACAGGGTTGTGGTAGAACCATGGTCACCTCCAGCATCGTTAGCATGGTGCGGAGTGGTATAAATGAGTAACTAATGTAAACAGCCATGCCTGGCTTGCACAACCTGGGACCTCTTCAGCAAGTAGAACTTTGGCCATTAATTCTGCCCCACATTAGTATGATATTACAAATACTGTTCAAAGTGGTGTCAAAGAAAACCTAACTCAATCAGAATGCTGATGTGATTTCAGGATCAACACCCCGAGGAAGCAGGGTGGTCTTGGCAACATGAAGATTCCTCTCCTGGCAGACAAGACAATGGAGATTTCCCGAAAATATGGCTGTCTGAAGGAAGACGAAGGAGTTGCATTCAGGTAAGAATTGTGAAGAGCTAGCCTCCAGCCTCCAGGCTCCAGGCTCTAGCCTCTAGCCTCCAGCCTTCAGGCTCTAGGCTCTAGCCTCCAGCCTCCAGGCTCCAGCCTCCAGCCTCCAGCCTCCATTCGTTAAAAATGGTCCTAACTCACTTTAACCATATGAGTTAGTTTATTGAAGTCAATAGACTGAAGTTGCTAGAAGCATGGTTAAAGGTGAAGATTGTTTATGTTCAGGAGATTGTTCTTGGACACTCACTATGTCCTACTCTAGGCTTGTCACCTTCTGTAGTTTGTTACGATCTTGAATCAGCACTGTTCTTTTACTCATTGGGCCATGTGTGGACCAGTCGTCTAAGGCTGTTCAGAGTTATGTCCCCTAGATGGCAGAAACCAATGGTCCTCAGTCCTAATGCCAGATTATGTTTTTAGGTTTGTCAGCACAACCCATGTTTGTAGGTTTTACTTAAGTCAAACACCTGCATCGCTTCACTCTTTCCTCCCACATCAAGCTGACACACTGTGATGTAACTGAAAACTGCCAGAAAAATAAAATGTGGAGCAACTGCAGCTGTTTGGTGGTCCCTAATCAGACCCAGGAGCATATATTTAATAGAACAACTATCTATCAGCCTGTACTCCTCCTGTTCATGCTCTATCAGCCTGTACTCCTCCTGTTCATGCTCTATCAGCCTGTACTCCTCCTGTTCATGCTCTATCAGCCTGTACTCATCCTGTCCATGCTCTATCAGCCTGTACTCATCCTGTCCATGCTCTATCAGCCTGTACTCATCCTGTCCATGCTCTATCAGCCTGTACTCATGCTCTATCAGCCTGTACTCATCCTGTCCATGCTCTATCAGCCTGTACTCATCCTGTCCATGCTCTATCAGCCTGTACTCATCCTGTTCATGCTCTATCAGCTTGTACTCATCCTGTACTCATCCTGTCCATGCTCTATCAGCTTGTACTCATCCTGTACTCATCCTGTCCATGCTCTATCAGCCTGTACTCATGCTCTATCAGCCTGTACTCCTCCTGTCCATGCTCTATCAGCCTGTACTCATGCTCTATCAGCCTGTACTCATCCTGTCCATGCTCTATCAGCCTGTACTCATCCTGTCCATGCTCTATCAGCCTGTACTCATCCTGTCCATGCTCTATCAGCCTGTACTCGTCCTGTTCATGCTCTATCAGCCTGTACTCATCCTGTCCATGCTCTATCAGCCTGTACTCATCCTGTTCATGCTCTATCAGCCTGTACTCATCCTGTCCATGCTCTATCAGCCTGTACACATCCTGTACTCATCCTGTCCATGCTCCATCAGCTTGTACACATCCTGTACTCATCCTGTTCATGCTCTATCAGCCTGTACTCATCCTGTCCATGCTCTATCAGCCTGTACTCATCCTGTCCATGCTTTATCAGCCTGTACTCATCCTGTCCATGCTCTATCAGCCTGTCTTCATCCTGTCCATGCTCTATCAGCCTGTACTCATCCTGTTCATGCTCTATCAGCCTGTACTCCTCCTGTCCATGCTCTATCAGCCTGTACTCATCCTGTCCATGCTCTATCAGCCTGTACTCATCCTGTCCATGCTCTATCAGCCTGTACTCATCCTGTCCATGCTCTATCAGCCAGTACTCCTCCTGTCCATGCTCTATCAGCCTGTACTCATCCTGTCCATGCTCTATCAGCCTGTACTCATCCTGTCCATGCTCTATCAGCCTGTACTCATCCTGTTCATGCTCTATCAGCCTGTACTCATCCTGTCCATGCTCTATCAGCCAGTACTCCTCCTGTCCATGCTCTATCAGCCTGTACTCATCCTGTCCATGCTCTATCAGCCTGTACTCATCCTGTCCATGCTCTATCAGCCTGTACTCATCCTGTTCATGCTCTATCAGCCTGTACTCATCCTGTCCATGCTCTATCAGCCTGTACTCATCCTGTCCATGCTCTTATCAGCCTGTACTTATCCTGTTCATGCTATATCAGCCTGTACTCATCCTGTTCATGCTGTCATGCTCTATCAGCCAGTACTCCTCCTGTCCATGCTCTATCAGCCTGTACTCATCCTGTCCATGCTCTATCAGCCTGTACTCATCCTGTCCATGCTCTATCAGCCTGTACTCATCCTGTTCATGCTCTATCAGCCTGTACTCATCCTGTCCATGCTCTATCAGCCTGTACTCATCCTGTCCATGCTCTTATCAGCCTGTACTTATCCTGTTCATGCTATATCAGCCTGTACTCATCCTGTTCATGCTCTATCAGCCTGTACTCATCCTGTTCATGCTCCATCAGCCTGTACTCATGCTCTATCAGCCTGTACTCATCCTGTCCATGCTCTATCAGCCTGTACTCATGCTCTATCAGCCTGTACTCATCCTGTCCATGCTCTATCAGCCTGTACTCATCCTGTCCATGCTCTATCAGCCTGTACTCATCCTGTCCATGCTCTATCAGCCTGTACTCGTCCTGTTCATGCTCTATCAGCCTGTACTCATCCTGTTCATGCTCTATCAGCCTGTACTCATCCTGTTCATGCTCTATCAGCCTGTACTCATCCTGTCCATGCTCTATCAGCCTGTACTCATCCTGTCCATGCTCTATCAGCCTGTACTCGTCCTGTTCATGCTCTATCAGCCTGTACTCATCCTGTCCATGCTCTATCAGCCTGTACTCATGCTCTATCAGCCTGTACTCCTCCTGTCCATGCTCTATCAGCCTGTACTCATGCTCTATCAGCCTGTACTCATCCTGTCCATGCTCTATCAGCCTGTACTCATCCTGTCCATGCTCTATCAGCCTGTACTCATGCTCTATCAGCCTGTACTCGTCCTGTCCATGCTCTATCAGCCTGTACCCATCCTGTTCATGCTCTATCAGCCTGTATTCATCCTGTTATGCTCTATCAGCCTGTACTCATCACATTCTTAGCGCTTTATGTCTATACTCATCCAATTTTGAGTTCTAGGAAATTAAGAGAGTAACCTGATAGAACTACTTTTATTTAGCCTTCTGCATTACTTTCAGGGACTACATGTTAGTCTGGTCCCCAGTATCCAATGCATGTCATCATGCCGACTAAGGATGCAGTGGTTACATTGAGTGCTTGTGATTTGTCTTCATCTGTCCCCTTGTATTTTAACAGAGGACTTTTCATCATTGATGACAAGGCCAACCTGCGCCAGATCACCATTAACGACCTCCCTGTCGGACGCTCAGTGGATGAGACCCTTAGACTTGTTCAGGCATTCCAGTTCACTGACAAGCACGGAGAAGGTGAGACAGCTATGTACTATGTTTAACAGTGTACAAAATTTAGGGAGGTTGAGGACCTGGGATCCTTGAGATTTCATGCTTAGTTTTGAAAACTGTTGAAAGTATTTAAAGCGTATAAGGGTTTAGGTCAAATTGTTTATTTGATGTGTTACTAATAAAATTAGAAGTGACTGTGGATTTCTCTTCAGTTGCACTTATTGTGGAAGAGCACGGCACAACTTGTGTATATGATGTCAACAGTGGTACAGTTACCACTTTGGTACAAGCACTTTTCGTGGTTTAAAAAGTGGTTAGGATATATTGTTATTGGTTTGTACATAGTGTCCCTTCAAGATGTAAAACCGCATCAGTCAGTGGAGGATTGCAATCGGGTGTAGGGCAGAATAAATCCCCAGGTCCTGAAGCTGGCTATAAGAGCAGATGAAATGAGGGTGGAGTGTGTGACCAGGCTGATTGTGTGCAATAGTACTTTCCTGCTACAACCTCTGTACCTTGCCTCAATGGTGTTATTGTGATACATATTTGACACACAGGGTAAATTATTTTTCAGTAATTCTCAGAGAATTAGGATATTCGCTTCAATTTGATTTCATTCCAATTATTACAATGTTCTCATTGTTTTTGGAAAGGCCTATAGCGATGCGATGTAAAGATAACAGCATGGCATCAGAAACAGATTTTATGGGATGTCACCCAACAATAGACAAACTGTGCTGATATATCCTCTTAAGATCAGGAAAACCCACAAAAGTCTACATGTTCTCAGAAAAATGACTGTGGCTACTAAAATGAACAACCTACTTGCAGCTTAGAATTGTGGATTTTCTGTCCCTCGTGAAATAAAGTTGAAAGTCTCGAAATGTTCAAAATTATTTCACTGGGGACAGATAATCCACAAGTCGTCTCAGCTCATGGGTTACTCGAGTACCCGAAAATAGGACGTCCTTTAAGAATATTGGTTATTATACTGGACTGAACAATGCCATGTTGGTTGTAGTTTGTCCTGCTGGATGGAAGCCAGGCGCAGACACCATGAAGCCCGACCCCAAGGGCAGCCAGAACTACTTCTCCAAGGTCAACTGAGGACACTGGAGGACGACACGCTAAGTCACTACAAGTGGATCAGAATGAAGGGTACAACAGCCTGTGGGGGATTGGACAACTCAATAGTGCTGTCATACTGGGAACAATGTCATCATTGTCAGGTTCCTGCAATGATCAGTGACATTTGCCTGTTTGTGTAGTAACAGCTTCAGCATTCATCATACATGGCACAGGGGAGACAACTGCTGTCATATCTCATTTCTTCACTTGATTTGGAGTTGTTTATTTGAAGACATTTGTTCTCTGTCCCCAGCTATGTTGTTATTGTTAATGGCACATCTTTAACTGTCCATGAAATAAATTTTGAAAATAGGAGACACCTGTTTTGTTTGTTTGTTTGGTTGTTGTTTTTAACGCAGCACTCTGCAATATTCAAGCTATATGATGGCAGTCTGTAAATAATCGAGTCTGGACCAAACAATCCAGTGATTGACAAAATGCACATCGATCCACGCAATTGGGATATGATGTCATGCATCAACCAAGTCAGTGAGCCTGACCTCCTGATCCCACACGTCGCCTCTTACGACAAGCATAGTCCCCTTTTACAGCAAGCATGGGTTGCTGAAGACCTTTTCTACCCCGGATCTTCTATCTATTGGTCTATTGACAGGTCATTGCGTAATATTATAAACCTATTCATTGGGATCGCTATTGAGTAAGAGACTTCTTTCTATAGGCATTAAAACCTATTGTGAGGTTTTACTTTCCAGTCAGGTTAAATCTTATAAACAGGGACGTTGTAATGTCCCTGGGATTTTATATAATGTCCTGGGTATTTTATTAATATAACTTCCGTTCAGATTGTAACATGTAATGAAATGTAAAATCAAATGACAAATGTTTTTTTTATATTCCCGAGGATCGAACTCGCAACCTTCATATCTGTAGCCCAGTTAGTGTACCACGAGGCTACAGAGGTGTTGATAAGCCTCACTGGTTTTTAGAATGTCCTTTTCAAGATCCGTATGCCAGCAACAGATATTTTACGAGCGTTTCCAAAGGTTCATGGAAAGTATGTTCGAAACATAAAAATGTTGATAAATGTTGTTCTAAGTTTCTTTTTCTGTTTATAAGCATGGAAAAACACTTTCCCTCGGTTTTGGTAGACAGAGCATGCCCTTGGGGTCGGGAAAAACCGTGGGGGCGAAGCCCCCGCGGTTTTCCCCTCTCCCCAGGGCATGCTCCAATACATCTAAATTCCCTTAGAAATATGACCAGACTTACTTCAGAGCCTTTTTCTCTCAGAGTACCTCATCTTGAATTGAAATCAGTCAACATTAGTCTGTGATGTACTTTCAATAATCAGCTCACCATGTGTTGTGGTTCATTGAGTGTCAATGTACGCTTACCAAAATGTTTGTTCTCAGGCAGTGAGAATTGTCTAAGCTCTAAAGCATAATTTTAAGTATAAAAAATTTGCTTGGCTCAAATATTCATTACTTGTCTGGAAGCTGAAATGTGGGGTGAGGTGAAATGGGGCATAACATCGTGATGAAGGTTATTACACTTATTTATATGCATGTGCATGGTGTGCATGCATATGAGGCTGCTTGTCCGGACTAATGCTAGTGCTAGCCCACTGAGGTACCATGCTGCGGTCAGCAATGATTTCTTTAATGTATTTTTTCAAAACTAAAAACACCATCACTTCTCCAGTTTGAAATAATGACTCAAGACAAGACTGTGGTCTATTTGACGGTTTATTGCTGACATCAATTATGAAGTTGTAAAATTTCATCATAAAGGCAAAGGCATGTTCAAATGTGATAGCAGATTACTGATATGAATTTCAGTCAAAATAAACCAAACTGCCACTATATAAAACTCAGACTTAACAATCACAACCATCTAAAAACCGAAAATAAAAACTTGCAGCCAAACTACATTCAACACAATAAAAAAAATCCTCTGATATGATTGTAGCACTTTTGAGATACATAGTTTCTCACACGACACACTGGTGGAGATAATCAAGGTCACCTTTAATCATGGGGTCACATTGTATTAATGTTGATTTTATTATCTTATCAATGACCAGATAAGCCCAATGACCCCATTCTGAGTGTTGGGTTGTGACCTTATCCTTGAAGCCGGGTCAACCGACATCTCTACAGAGTAGAAATTGCTTGAGATTTCCACTTTTTGGCGCCCTTTACATTTTCGGTGGTTGACATCATTTGGTACTTGGCAATCAATACATTGTGACAAACACCTTTCTCAACAGCATATCACATTAATCGCCTTGGTTACATAGACCTTATTGAACAGTAGACCTTAAATGGCTAGAGTGGTCTTTGTAAGTGCAAATAGGTCTTCGTCCCAGGTCATGGAAATGTCAGGATTTTAAAAAGAGTCAACAGTCAAATATCCTTTTGGCAGTACAAGTGTACTACGTTCCAAGGGAGTTATTAAATCACATTAGAACACAACACACCTTTTTGTGTGTACTCCGCAGGCCGCATTGAAATTCTGACATAACCAGACGATGGGCACCTTGATTCTGATTGCCTTGATTGTAAAAGTGAGAAAACTAAATCACATAGTCTTTAGCTAAAAAGGCACAAGCATACACACATTGACACCTTTTGGAAAGGCAGTTACAGTCACAGATCTGATGGCTGCTGGTCAACTGGAAGTGACCTTTACAGGAAACAGTAGGATATTAATTTTGAAGAGGGAGCATTCTGTCAGTGAAACATGTAATACATGTTGACGTTTCACACGGGTAACCCCTAGGCTACCCGACCGCCTCTCACACAGGTAAAGTACAATCTGCAAGTCGATGTCGATTACAGTATAAGGACAGATAGAATAGCCAGAATCGTCCTGGGAATAGTTGTGGATTAGTTCTAGCTAGCTTCTTTTATCAATGACACTGAAATGTTAGAATTTTAGACCAGAAACACAGAATCTACTGATAATTTGTCAACAATTGATGACCTATCGTATACGTTTAGCAGATTTTTGGAAAAACGGTTGGGATGCCCATAATTCTGATGTCCCAACTTACTCCGCGAAGGACAGTTGAATGTCTGAAAAAAGGGGTGTGCTCCTCCCCATTGGATCCGCCAGTGGGCAAGACCACTGTCTACTCATCATTGAATAGTTAGAAATGGTAACCAGAGTGGAAATACACAAATCGAATTACAATAAGACTTTGTAAAGATAAGAATACTATCTACAGCACAACTTGACCAATAAAACAGCAGCCATTCAGTACAAGAAGACACTGAAGACATCACTACATAGAACATTTACACACATCCACACACGCCCTCTCACACAAGCACACGGTTGTTGCTCCCAAAGGAAACACACTTAGCCCCCTGGCACTGCTGCCTTACTATAGTATAAAACCCCTGATAAATACTTGGAATCATTTCTAGATGGAATAACAAGTGAGTCTGCCCTTTCCCCCTCCATCAGGCCAGGGCAAATGTACATCTCTCACTTCTAGTGACTTGTCCTGCAGGAGGAGGATAGGCCAGCCCTGCATAGTAAGTATTGAGAGCACCTGCTAGTGGAGAGAAATGATGTGATTTATATACATTGCTATCAAAATACACAAGGCAGCAGAGGAGAGACGGAGAGACGGAGAGACAGACATCCAGAGTAAACCATTTCAGGACAAAACCATCGTAGACAATTGAACAGATCGGGTGTAAAGATCGAACATTATGCATGATTAAGGCGACCCATACAGACTCATCACAAGTTGTCATCTTTTAGACAATAATCCATAAATGCAGGCAGAACTTTTCTCAATGATTACCAGACCTACTGTTAATGTTCGTAAGTCTCATTTGAACACTTCTGGTACAATCATAATACAATGAAGTGGATTTGAATACACAATTGGTATATTAGGTGATGATTTCACAAGCAGTTGACTTGCAATCTGCATTCATGCCACAACGGTGGGACAGCCTGTCTTAGGGTGCCTCTGTATAATGATATAAAAAATAGTTGTTCAAGGCACAGATTCCATAGTGCATTCATTAACGGTAGGCACTGAGTTTGCTCAGAAGATATAAATCTATTGTGACTAGGTAGAGTGATATTCCTGCCTGTAGTAAATATATATATATAAATATAGATACCTATCTCCATAAAATATATATTAAAAGTTTGTTGATTTCATAATGCTCTTCATAATAGATAATTCATTTATAAACATGAGATATGTATTTTTTTGGCATCTTGAAATACTGCAACACTCTTAAAATCTATTAAAAGATCTTAAATGTCATTTAAACATACTAAGTGTTACAACCTGTGGCTAATGCTGGTGTATATTGTTTTATTTCAACCAGCATGAGTACTTTGATAATATCTTCCCAGAGATGTTAAGTTACATAAATGCTCTCAGCTTGTATGTCAGAGAAACAAATAACCTTAGGTTGTAAGTTAGAGATGAATGGTGTCCACATTTGTAGATGACAGACAAATGTTCTCTACTTGCATGACAGAGTGAGCAATCATCTCTGTTGGGTAGAGACAAATGTTCTCTACTTGCATGTTGAGTGAGCAATCATCTCTGTAGGGTAGAGACAAATGTTCTCTACTTGCATGACAGAGTGAGCAATCATCTCTGTAGGGTAGAGACAGAAGTTCTCTACTTGCATACCGAGTAAGCAATCATCTCTGTAGGGTAGAGACAAATGTTCTCAACTTGCATACCGAGTGAGCAATCATCTCTGTAGGGTAGAGACAAATGTTCTCTACTTGCATGACAGAGTGAGCAATCATCTCTGTAGGGTAGAGACAAATGTTCTCTATTTGCATGTCCGAGTGAGCAATCATCTCTGTAGGGTAGAGACAAATGTTCTCTACTTGCATGACAGAGTGAGCAATCATCTCTGTAGGGTAGAGACAAATGTTCTCTATTTGCATGACAGAGTGAGCAATCATCTCTGTAGGGTAGAGACAAATGTTCTCTATTTGCATGTCAGAGTGAGCAATCATCTCTGTAGGGTAGAGACAAATGTTCTCAACTTGCATGACAGTGTGAGCAATCATCTCTGTAGGGTAGAGACAAATGTTCTCTACTTGCATGTTGAGTGAGCAATCATCTCTGTAGGGTAGAGACAAATGTTCTCAACTTGCATGACAGAGTGAGCAATCATCTCTGTAGGGTAGAGACAAATGTTCTCTACTTGCATGACAGAGTGAGCAATCATCTCTGTAGGGTAGAGACAAATGTTCTCTACTTGCATGACAGAGTGAGCAATCATCTCTGTAGGGTAGAGACAAATGTTCTCTATTTGCATGACAGAGTGAGCAATCATCTCTGTAGGTTAGAGACAAATGTTCTCAACTTGCATGACAGAGTGAGCAATCATCTCTGTAGGTTAGAGACAAATGTTCTCTACTTGCATGTTGAGTGAGCAATCATCTCTGTAGGGTAGAGACAAATGTTCTCAACTTGCATGATAGAGTGAGCAATCATCTCTGTAGGGTAGAGACAAATGTTCTCAACTTGCATACCGAGTGAGCAATCATCTCTGTAGGTTAGAGACAAATGTTCTCTACTTGCATGTTGAGTGAGCAATCATCTCTGTAGGTTAGAGACAAATGTTCTCAACTTGCATGACAGAGTGAGCAATCATCTCTGTAGGGTAGAGACAAATGTTCTCAACTTGCATGTCGAGTGAGCAATCATCTCTGTAGGGTAGAGACAAATGTTCTCAACTTGCATGACAGAGTGAGCAATCATCTCTGTAGGGTAGAGACAAATGTTCTCTACTTGCATGACAGAGTGAGCAATCATCTCTGTAGGGTAGAGACAAATGTTCTCTACTTGCATGACTGAGTGAGCAATCATCTCTGTAGGGTAGAGACAAATGTTCTCTACTTGCATGTTGAGTGAGCAATCATCTCTGTAGGTTAGAGACAAATGTTCTCAACTTGCATGACAGAGTGAGCAATCATCTCTGTAGGTTAGAGACAAATGTTCTCTACTTGCATGTTGAGTGAGCAATCATCTCTGTAGGTTAGAGACAAATGTTCTCTACTTGCATGTTGAGTGAGCAATCATCTCTGTAGGTTAGAGACAAATGTTCTCTACTTGCATGTTGAGTGAGCAATCATCTCTGTAGGTTAGAGACAAATGTTCTCAACTTGCATGACAGAGTGAGCAATCATCTCTGTAGGTTAGAGACAAATGTTCTCTACTTGCATGTTGAGTGAGCAATCATCTCTGTAGGTTAGAGACAAATGTTCTCTACTTGCATGTTGAGTGAGCAATCATCTCTGTAGGTTAGAGACAAATGTTCTCAACTTGCATGACAGAGTGAGCAATCATCTCTGTAGGGTAGAGACAAATGTTCTCAACTTGCATGTCGAGTGAGCAATCATCTCTGTAGGGTAGAGACAAATATTTGCAGCTTGTAGACTAGAAGAACAAATGGTATGAGGTTGAAGAGTAGACATATAATGCTTTGTTGTTTCCCTAATGCCTAGTCCCCGAACTGACCATAAGCGTATTCTATCATACTTGACATATCCCACAATGCACACAGGTTGGGCACTTGCTTCAAGTGGCGTTAAGTCTGTAGCAGGGTAACTTCGTAAAGCCTTCAGTAATACAGTCAGCAATATAGTGAGTGATCCATGGAGTTCCCTTCTGGGTCCTGGATAAAAGTCACAGGAGAAGATTATCTTCTCCCAATCGAAATTCACTTTTGCAGCTTGGTAGTCAATAAAATAACAGTTCTTAGCTGCAAAGGTGCGTAAGTTCTTGTCGAGACGTCCCATGACAGCTCTTAACTGTCGGAACATGTTACATCTAGGACCTTTCGGTCGTGGCAAAGCAAATGCCATTTCTTGGTTAACGTACCCGTTTTGGGTTGTTGATCAATGATCATGATAAAATGTGTGAACAGCCCTGTTTTGTCCCTGTGACAACAGGCGCTTGTCCTGAATATCACACGGTGCATCCCAGCCTGTGGGTGCAGATGTGTGTGAACAGCCCTGTGTTGTCTCAACGACAGCAGGTGCTTGTCTCCAATGTACATGCGGTGCAGCCCAGCCCGTGGGTGCACTAGTTGCATCATGTACATTGCTTTATAAATTTATATCCATGATAAATTCTCCATATACAGATGACCACTGACCGGCAGTGGTTTTACATTTATGCCATCACAGATCAGATGATGTAAGATCCTTAACCAGACCTAGTATCAGCACTTGTGACACTGTGACTGTGATTAAATACCCAAACTGAAAAGTCTATCCACTTTCATGCTGCAGCATGGTAGATAATGCCTTGACATGTAACCGAAATGCGTAGTATTTGCTTGCATTAATCTACTATGTTGAAGCTACCTGCATCACAGTCAAAGTATCATCACTCTTAAGTATGTCCTAATTAAAGATCTTAGTCATGAAATTTGGTATTTATCCCCCTCAAATATACAAAGTTATCTCACTGAATGCCCTGCAACAGTAGGAAGACGTCAAACCCTGTACACTACGACAAGAGGTCGCAGCATGACGTCATGCAGACACTGACAGTTCTCATGACAGTATCATGCAGTTAACGTACCATGACCATGTCATGAATACACTAACATTTAATATAACATGACCCTGTCATGAAGACACTGACAGTTATCACAACATGACAAAATCACGATGACACTCTTGACAGGTATCAGGGCACAACGTCACAAAGACACTGTAACAAGTTATGGCACGAGAATGTCATGTAGACACTAATAAAGGTATCATGACGGAAGGTGTCATGAGAGTTGGCACAGAAAGCAGTCAGGACTTCTTATATTGGGTGAAGAGAGGGTGCATCAGCAGTTCCCTAGCGTTGGGGCGGAACTCGGAGCTCTGCTCCAGACATCGCAGCATCAGGTCTCGCACTGCTGGGGACAGGTTCTCGGGAATGGGAGGAGATTCAACAGACGATGCAATCTGTGAGGAAAAAGAAAAGCACCTTAAGCATGAGCTATGGAAAAGGAGTTCACCCCTATTTTTCATAAATGTAACATAATTGGTGAAACTCTCAAGGTATAATTTGACAAGGTGTGCTGGACATGTGTCAGAAATTTCATTTCCAGTCTTAGTTTTTTTGTTTGTTGTTTGACGCGGCACTCAGCAATATTCCAGCTATATGATGGCGGTCTGTAAATAATCGAGTCTGGACCAGACAATCCAGTGATTGGGACTGATGACATGCATCACCCAAGTCAGCGAGTCTGACCACCCTCTTACGACAAGCGTTGTCGCCTTTTACGGCAAGCATGGGTTGCTGAAGACTTAGAATAATGAGCAGCCCAACACATGTGTGAGTGTGGATTTACTCTGTTCTTTACAGTCTTCCAACAACATCATGACGAGGGACACCAACAACAACCATTACACATTGTACCCAGGCGGGGAAGTTTCCTTGGCATGACTAGCAGACACATCCCACCCCTCAAAGTGTTGTCTGAAGAATCGGCAGCTAAGATTACCTTGAATATAAGAGCAAGATGATTAGATACATCAGGAGCATTCCAGGGAGGTTTGGTGGTGGCCATTTCGATCATACAACAGCCAACGCTCCACACGTCACAGGCACGACCATAGTTCTCACCTCGCAACACCTACAACAGACAACATAGCATTGTTAACATGAACTCTCAGGGATTTATCTACACCTGTCAGAGGCCGATATTCGGCCCCAGGTCTGCAGCAAAAGTCAGTAGAAATTCCCAAATGGGAAATAAAAAGATTATATTCATGTAACTATACTTATAGTGAGTGAGTGAGTTGGGTTTAACGCCGCTTTTAACATTATTCCAGTTATATCAAGGCATGTCAGCTTAATGTGGGAGGAAAGCCTGAAGTCATGAAGGTCTAAGACGTTTACCACTTCGGTGAAACCCAACTATACTTATAACTGCCAGTAGTGTGATTGCTTGGTCAATGTGACTTGTAATCCACTGATAACAGAACCACACAAGAGGAAGAGCCTTAATGTGACATTATTGTATTGAATGCAGTGTTACAATGTAATGTCAAAATACCTGGCAAAATAAGATAATAAGATCAAACTTCCAGATAAATCCCTGACTATACAAAACTAATATTACCTGTTTCATACAGGTAACTAGATTGATAAATTACATGTGTTACGTTGTACTTAGGTCACTACTGGACTGCCAGTGTGGTACCACTATGGTTCACAAATCAACACTCATGACATCGAAGGCAAGGTGAGCAGTTGGTGTTAGAATAGCTCCCCGTACACTGTAAGAGCTGTCCAAGGTGGGGATGAGCTGTTTATGCGTTCGTTTTTTGTTTAAGCCGCATTTATGACGGCGGCCTGTAAATAATTGAATCTGGACCAGACAATCAAATGATCGATACTTTGATTGTCATATTGTTCAATTATCAGGGTTACCTCCATTAGCGTCCAAACACATTTCTGAGCAAAGCATACCAACTGAAATACCGTTGGGATAGTGATAATGCCTCCAACTGTCCCCCCTACTCCCTCACCTCTGGTGCCATGGAGCAATAGTGCCTCCAACTGTTCCCCCCTACTCTCTCACCTCTGGTGCCATGAAGGCAATAGTGCCAAACAACTGTCCCCCCTACACTCTTACCTCTGGTGCCATGGAGCAATGGTGCCTCCAACAGTCCCCCCTACTCTCTCAACGCTAGTGCCTCCAACTGTCCCCCTACTCTCTCACCTCTGGTGCCATGAAGGCAATAGTTCCTCCAACAGTCCCCCCTACTCGCTCACCTCTGGTGCCATGGAGCAATAGTGCCTCCAACAGTCCCCCCTACTCTCTCAACGCTAGTGCCTCCAACTGTCCCCCCTACTCTCTCACCTCTGGTGCCATGAAGGCAATAGTGCCTCCAACTGTCCCCCCTACTCTCTCACCTCTGGTGCCATGAAGGCAATAGTGCCAAGCAACTGTCCCCCCTACTCTCTCACCTCTGGTGCCATGAAGGCAATAGTGCCTCCAACTGTCCCCCCTACTCTCTCACCTCTGGTGCCATGAAGGCAATAGTGCCAAGCAACTGTCCCCCCTACTCTCTCACCTCTGGTGCCATGAAGGCAATAGTGCCTCCAACTGTCCCCCCTACTCTCTCACCTCTGGTGCCATGAAGGCAATAGTGCCAAGCAACTGTTCCCCCTACTCTCTCACCTCTGGTGCCATGAAGGCAATAGTGCCTCCAACTGTTCCCCCCTACTCTCTCAACGCTAGTGCCTCCAACTGTCCCCCCTACTCTCTCACCTCTGGTGCCATGGAGCAATGGTGCCTCCAACAGTCCCCCCTACTCTCTCAACGCTAGTGCCTCCAACTGTCCCCCTACTCTCTCACCTCTGGTGCCATGAAGGCAATAGTGCCTCCAACTGTTCCCCCTACTCTCTCAACGCTAGTGCCTCCAACTGTCCCCCCTACTCTCTCACCTCTGGTGCCATGAAGGCAATAGTGCCTCCAACTGTCCCCCCTGCTCTCTCAACGCTAGTGCCTCCAACTGTCCCCCCTACTCTCTCACCTCTGGTGCCATGAAGGCAATAGTGCCTCCAACTGTTCCCCCCCTTCTCTCTCACCTCTGATGCCATGAAGGCAATAGTGCCTCCAACAGTCCCCCCTACTCTCTCAACGCTAGTGCCTCCAACTGTCCCCCCCTTCTCTCTCACCTCTGATGCCATGAAGGCAATAGTGCCTCCAACTGTCCCCCCTTCTCTCTCACCTCTGGTGCCATGAAGGCAATAGTGCCGAGCAACTGTCCCTGGAACTCTCCTGCACCCGTAGCTTGAGATGCTAACCGTGCTGCAGCTCCGAAGTCTCCTATCCTCAACCGCTGCCCCGTACTGTCCACCAGCAAGTTAGCTCCTGCAACAAAGAAGGCAAAGAGCTTAACACAGGAAATCTTGAAATGATCAAAGGGAAGTAACTCTTGGGTGTGGGATGTTTCAGGTAAGAAGCTACCAGTGAGAATTAGAATCAGTTGTCAGAGATATCCCTGTGTGATTTCATGTTAAACTTCACTTAGAAACAGTTCTACTATCTTTCAGAGGTTTCAATGATGTGACCAAAACTACTCAAATTTGCCTTACCTTTGAGATCACGATGAAGAATGCCATTGTCATGGAGATAAGCGAGACCCTGAAGGATCTGCCTGGTGTAGTTTGCTATCACCTCGTCAGAGAAAGACCCGTATCGACCGAGGAGATAGGTCAGAGACCCGCCTGTACAACACACACAACAACTTCATAACCTGCTCCATGATCATGATATCTTTTGAAAACAAGACCTGCTTGTTGTTTAAAACCAGTCTGTAAATATTTGAATCCTGCTACAGAAACAACAGCTAACAAGTAAAAGTGAGCAGGGCTCACTAATACTCCCGACCTTGACTCCAACATATTTCGAAGTTCAAATCATGAAAAAGACATTATTTTCTCAGAAAATCCACTTTTCCAAATCAAACTTTGTACTGCACCTCTCCTATTGGTATAGACACTGTACCCCCAGTTGGAAAAGAATCTATTAGTTGTTTTCAAGTTATGGTAATAATTCTAAGTTCAAAACATGAAATATTTGTTTTTAAAGAAAATTCAGAAAATACACATATGAAAATCAAACTTTTACTTTACTTCTGTTAGTATAGAATCTGTTCCCTTAATTTGAAAATACAAGCAGTAGTTTTCAAGATATAGGTCGTAAAACTGAGTCAAAAATTTAAAATAGCTGTATTTTTCAGAAAATGTTATTAGACACCCGACCTGAAAGGACAGGGTTCACAAAGGAATTCCTGTTTAAACTTGGTGAACACTTGCTATACCAATAGGAGAGGTGTTGTGAGAAATTTTATTTCAATATTGGTATTATGAGCAACGTCGTATGTCGTTGGGGTACAATGACGTGAAAACAACTAAGTCACCGAAGATGACCACCCAATCCATCTAGTCGCTTTGTACGACATTACATATTTACATTTAAAAAAACTCTTGAAACAACACTTGGAAACTTCACAGGCCTGTCATTTGAGTAAGCCTGATTTGGCATTTTGTGCTGTTAATCTCTTGGAAGCCAAATCATAGGGGAGAAGTATCTTTGTGGGAAAAGTAAATGTTATTTCAAACAAAACTAATCTTTTGTTGAATTTACTGTAACAATAAATTTAACTGTTTAAAGAGTTTAACATTTTTGTACATTTACATTGTTCAGCGTATTGACCAACCATCTTTTTCAAGCCTTCGATTAACTCCCGGCAATATACAGCCAACACATACCTGGCATCCACTCCACAAACATGTTGAAGTGGCATCCCTGCTTGGTGGCGCCAAAGATGCGGACGACGTTGGGATGTGCCAGTCGGGCCATCATCTGCACCTCCTCTGCTATTGCCTGGATCACCTTCTCCTGCTCCATCGGGCTGTTCCGGCAGAACGAAATCTACACACGACAAAAGGATACTGTAAATCGTGAAATTAATGCGTCTCCAAAAGAATGCGACCACTGGACCCTTGCCAAAAATGCGACACCCCCTCCTCTCAAGCATCAGTGGATTTCTATCTAAAGAAAATGTCCTCAGTCAGGTTTAGAATCCTCACCTTAATCCAACCTTATATTAATCCAATCACACACCTAATTAGCGCTGAGTAAAGTACTTCCGCAAAAACAATTCATGCGCGCTGGCTCGTGTCGGCCTTTGACGCAGTCGCAAAGAACAAAGGGCGGCGCCTGTCTGGACTTGCAGGTGTGATCAGTGATGACATAAGTGAGTAGAACTCTTGTCTTGACCCCAGCAGTGACAATTCACAGGATGTAATTAGTGTTTGAATGACATTGTTTATATAGTTTATATACAAGTGCTGCTCAATAAACAGTGGTGTGGAATACATCAGCGTATGTCTAAGTTGGAATTTTTGCTATCCAAAATGTCTTATTGTTGATATAAATTCAGTGTTTAAAAATGCGAGCAAAGACCACTCGCATTTTTCGCATTTAATTCACGCTCACGTTAATTTCAAGATTTACAGTATTTGGAAATGCAAACTTTTTTGACCGGAGTTCCCAGACTTAATCAGGACAACCACCACCTTTCTACTTCAAAAGAATATTTGTTATCTCACAGATAACATGAATCTTAAATTATGTCAGGACCTTTTCCTCCAATATGTAACTGACTGACCTATATTTGAGGGAATGACGCCAGATCATGCTGATGCAGTGGAAAACCCCAGCACCGCAAGGTGAAAACATTGAGATTAACAAAAAGCCAGAAACAGTCTCCCCATAGCAAAAGTATTTGTGAGTGAGTATGGTTTTATGCTGCTTTTAGCAATATTCCAGCAATATCACGAAATCTAGAAATCTAGAAATGGGCTTTACACATTGTACCCATGTCGGGAATCGAACCCGAGTCTTCGGCGTGACGAGCGAACGCTTTAACCAGTAGGCTACCCGACCGACCCCCCCCCCCCAAATTATTTGTGGAATACACATTATGAGATATAGGGATCAAACAATTTGTCTTAGGAACTTGAGCAAATGAGCAACTTCTCAGTGCCAGCAGTCTGAAGCCTGTGTGAGAACAAGGGAGAACTGACCTGTTTGACTGCCATGAGCACCCCGGTGCGGACGTCCCGCGCCTGGTAGCAGGTGCTGTAGGCTCCCGTCCCAAGCAGGGGACCCTTCACCCAGTGAATGTTTTCGTAGTATATTGACGGCTGGTCCGACTCTGTGCTGCTGGAGGTCCCATCCTGAACACAGACAATGTCATTAACATAGGTCATTTGAAGACAAGGGTTGCATTCGTACAACCAATCGCTTACAAGTGATCATTGTGTTGTACAGCGATTCGCCTTACCACGGGGCACTAACTTTCAGCCGCTTACAATCACACCAATCGCTGGCTGAGGTCGCTTGTTCTCAAACCAAAATGGAGAAGCTGACAGAGATCTGAGTTTGACAGAGGAACGAGAAATTCTTGACTGGACGAACTGGGGAATGGGCAAAGGCAGCTAACATGCTAGTAATAAATATCCTCAGCCTGCTCTATCATCAATAGTCATAAATTCCCCGGCTAGTTATCGAGCCTCTTCTGTTCTTTATTGGGGAGAGGCAATCAAGCGGTTGCCACTCTGCCATTTTGGAAGAATGAGCGAGCACGTCGAGCTGTTGGAGACCCAGACGAGTGATTAAATGTCTTACTCTAAGGGATTCGTGGCTTGCAATGCACTTAAGTATACAGGTCAAGTCTAGTGATAAGCAATAGCTCTCTCTCACGCCTGTCTTTTGATATAAAAAATATCAACAAGATGCAAATACATTTTATATTAAAGATACACAAATTTTAATCCAATGAAATCGCTTGTTATAACTACGTGAAAAAAACAGGCAATGTTACGAAAGCGCGATTACGAAATGAATGACCGCCGTGTTGTGACAGCAACTACATGTGTGTGACAGTTTAGCCTTAAATTGGATTGCCCACTAATTAAGAATATAAACTTTGCTTGTGGTTCTCTTTTATTGCATGCATGCGCTTCTAAGATCAAAGGATGTATAGTGTGAAAAGTAAACTAGTTGAACAATCGTATTTCTGGGACTTGCCCCGGAATTTTTCAAACAGATTATTAGAACTCCATTCAGCGATAAACGGTTGATTATGCAATGAGAAGCGTTATGTGCAAATGAACAACGAACAACAATACAATTATGTCTGTGTAAAACTCTCAGTAATAAAAGTGTACATAAATTGTGGGAGCCATGCGTTACCGCGCGTAGTAACCGAGGTAGCGCTTTATCGAAGAGCGCAATAGCGAGGGATCACTGTACTCAGGTGAGGTGGTTTATCATCCAAAACCATTCTTCAAACCCTTTCAGTTTGTAAACAGTCAATACCTGTGTCTTGAATATAAAAAGTACAGTTAACCAGTTTCTGTGCCAGAGAGATTAGTGACATCATTTGAATGTGAAGTCATGGTAATCAATGACATTTGATAGAAAACTACTAGTCCTTACAACGATTTACAAATCTTGATTAGTTGACTAGAATTGTGTTCATGTAGAGGTCTGAGTCTAGTAGCTTGTCTTTGTTCGAGTCAACCCCTTACCTCTGGTTGTATCCGTATTGTGAGGACCTCCTCTCTGGCTGTGGGTGTGAGTCCGGGCACAACGGGGCACGGATCTTGCCTCTCCGACACGGCCATAGCACGGGCCAGGGCCTCCGCCTCCTCCCTCTCCACCTCCTCCTTGCAGGAACACTTGTCACTGTGGTGGGTGTGCGTGTGCCTCAGAGCTGCCAGAGAAACCAACAAACATGTACAACAGATTCACAATCATTCCATTCCTACTTACAGCAAAAACAATTACCTTAATCAGGGTTAGAAACTAACAGCTTTCGTCCACTAGTCCTTATCCTTAAAAAGGGCAAATTTCTACTAGTCCTTATGATACGTTTACCATTGGGCAGTTTGGCAAGGACTATAGGACTAGTGCCTATTTCTAACGCTGCCTTAATTCTAATTAAATACCTAACTATTCAGTGGAGGTCTATCGAAAAATGTAAATAAGATCGCAATGCTTTAATCATTTAGGAGTGAAGTGCAGCTAAACAAGGCTGTGTATTCAAGGCGCAAAACTCTACTCTTCCTAGCTGAGAAACACCAGAAAATGTGTGACACCCGTTGAGTCATTGAAGTCACCCTATTGAACATGTTGAATGACTGTATTCATGGAAATATTCAAATTAATTCTGAGAATTAAAAATATTTGAGGACAAAATGGTTGTCTGGCTGCACAATTGGTCCAAGGGCTTATCAGTTCAAAATCATATTGAATGCTTGCAATGCATCAGTGCATCACTCTCTGAGTGATCCAATCTTAAGCCTTATCCATGTTTACTTGTAAGCCACACAAACAACTGATGTATCTGGCCATCAAAGATCCCTTACCTTGATCAGCAGTATGGCTAGGTGAGCTCTTGGGGGATTCAGCCACCTCAGACTTGAATGACACTGGCCTCTCACTGGGTGTGTCTGGAGATGACGTTCCATGGATGTCCAGGAGGTCGTCACTACTCATCGTTTCCTGATCTGCCGTGTGGAAGTGGGGAGCATGCTCCGGGGTGTTGGGAGCCGCAGCTGACCCCACAGGAATGGCCTCCTCCTCCCCAGGGGAGGCGCTACAGCACCCTGCGACTGAGCGGTGAATACAAGGGTTGTGGGTGGGTCCCTCCTCATCACATAATGAGATGTGCTCATCAAAGTCGACCACAGTGTTGCTTAATGAGTCTTTCTGTGCCAGGAGACTGTCGTCTGCTTCTGTCTTCTGCTGCTGTGGTTCTATTGGTTTCTGGCTACTTGTGGATGACGTAACACAGATTAGAGGAACTACATCAGACTTTGCTGCATTGTTAGTTGTTTGAGCATCTTCACAATCTACATTTTCAACCTGAAGATCTGCATGCCGAGATTTGGCCAAAAGTACCGAGTCTCTTGTAATTCGGCGTGGTATTGATCTTTTCTTTCTCCTTGAGCGGCTGTGGGTGGGTGTGTTGGGTGGACATGATGGGACTGACTTGGCACCGGTCTCACTCTGGCTTTCAGAGCAATACGTGGCGGGGGAGGGGCACCTGGGGGTAGAGACGGGGGATTCGTTGGGGGAACCAAGGGGGGAGTCAGCATCAGCATGGAAATGTTTCTTTGAGCCATGTTGCAGTTCCTGTACAATCTTTTCAGATAATTGAAAATCGTTGATTATTCTTGTTAATTTTCGTTTTACAGATATCACAGAAGAAGAGTCGATGTCTGAGAGGAGATCCTCCAGCTCAGTGACAATGGAGTGAAGATGAGCACCGAGTTTAGCCGTCAACAGGAACACCCTGCGGGCCATACGAGAAATACGAACATGAGCATTACACACAGCCTTCACAGAGAACCTAGCAACAGACAACAGTCTGAGGGAAGTGTCAGCCTGGCGGACACCTTCACCAGCTGATGCCCCAGCCTCATCGGGGATGGTGGTGTCAGGGCTGGCATCTGCAGCGCCCTCGATCTCTCTCGGGAGGAAGTCTTGAGGGAACTCCTCCAGGAGCTTCTCGATGATGTAGAGTCTCCCCAGCAGCCATTGCCACTGCACACTGTCCACGCTGTATTCTTCCGTTACACATTTGAGCACATAGTTGAGACCATCCAGGCCTTTGGGACCTGTCAAAGACACTACTAACAGTCAGATAAACACATCTTTGGTAGACACGATCACAATCATCAGATTTTATAAGTTCTCGCTACCTCTAAATAAGATCTGAGGACATCCCATTACAGGTCACATAAGAACAACCGGGTAGCCTAGTGGTTAAAGCGTTCCCCCGTCACGCCGAAGACCCAGGTTAGATTCCCGACATGGGTACAATGTGTAAAGCCCATTTCTGGTGGCCCCCGCCGTGATATTGCTGGAATATTGCTAAAAGCGGCGTAAAACCATACTCACTCACTCACTCCATCTGACCGATCTTCATATCAGGAAAGTGACAGTCGGAATGTGTTTTCTAACCATGCAAACTCTAAATGGTTAACATTTGCTATTCCGAACGACAGCTATAGCCTGTTATAGCTATAGCTATAGCATGCACAGGTGATTCAGTCAAAATCATCCTCATTCTCTTGCTTCGAGGGGGTATCGGAAGTACTGCCATACAATCTCAGCCATCTATTACACATTCCAGAATAAATACACAATGCCATTCAGAAAGCAGTCAAATGTAACAAATCTTATATTTGGGATAACACTTTCTCAGTAATGTACAGATTCTTGTACTTTTGGGGGTTAAGTCCTATGCGGGATTCGAACCCACAGTGCAAGTGTGTGGCACCTAATCGCCAGCACACAAAGTCAGCGATCTAACCCATTCAGCCACCGAGGCTTCCACAAAATGAAAGTCAGACAACTGGATCTTTACTAAGAAAGTGTTATCCCAAATATAACATTTGTTACACATTCCGGAATGTTCTTTTTTTTCAGTTTTTAAATTTTGAACTGAGTACTTTGCCAAATATTTTTCAAAGCATAGTCTGCAATGGAAGTCTCCAGTTTGAAACAAATGCTGTGTTGCTCAAGAAAACTGTTTTATCATTGTGTCGACTTCTTGTTAGTTGGTCAGTCAAAGTTCTGACCTAACGGAATGTCCTCAAATCTTTGTTTAGCAGTAGCAAGAACTAAGATCTGATTTTAATGAGATTGATACAATCATTTTCACAAAGAGTAATCCAGTAATGAAACTTGAATAATAAATCTATTACTGCTATGTACTATAGAACATTGTCCATGATCCTGACAAGTAAGGGGGGCACGGGTGGCCCAGTCGTCTAAGGCGCCACGATTCACTGTGCAGTAGTCCCTTGAACACGCCAGAAACCTATGGTTGTGGGTTCGAATCCCGGTTCGCCCTGATTATGTTTCTAGGTTTGTCAGCACCATACCCGTGCTCATGGGTTTCACCGAAGTGGTAAACGTCTTAGACCTGCATCACTTTGGGCTTTCCTCCCACATTAAGCTGACACAGCGTGATATAATTGGAATAATGTTAAAAGCGGCGTTAAACTCACTCACACCTGACAAGTAAGGGAAATAACTCCTCGGCACCTCAGAGGTCACCTATTCCCCTTCGGTAAAGAGAACCAGGGTTAGACACCACTGTCATATCAAAGTCAGCTCTTATCAGACTAGTGGTTACATAAAATAACTAGATTTTAGATTTTGGGATAAAATAACTTGTCAGTTCAGATTGTTACTAGTCTCGGACAAGAAGTCTTGTCTATTCCTGGAGAACTACTACACCTATTGTTACCTGGGTTGAGTATCTCCCTGCCTACAGCCAACTCCCCGCACTGACCCTTGGCCAACTCCACCAGCGTGGACACTGACAGCTGACTGGTTCGTCTGTAAAACAAACACACACACTGTAGCATCTAGTGCCCATACATACATCCTACAGCCAACTCCACCAGCGTGGACTGGTTTGTCTGTAACACAAACACACACACTGTAGCATCTAGTGCCCATACATACATCCTACAGCCAACTCCACCAGCGTGGACACTGACAGCTGACTGGTTCGTCTGTAACACAAACACACACACTGTAGCATCTAGTGCCCATACATACATCCTACAGCCAACTCCACCAGCGTGGACTGGTTTGTCTGTAACACAAACACACACACTGTAGCATATAGTGCCCATACATCCATCCTACAGCCAACTCCACCAGCGTGGACACTGACAGCTGACTAGTTCGTCTGTAACACAAACACACACACTGTAGCGTCTAGTGCCCATACATACATCCTACAGCCAACTCCACCAGCGTAGACACTGACAGCTGACTGGTTCGTCTGTAACACAAACACACACATTGTAGCATCTAGTGCCCATACATACATCCTACAGCCAACTCCACCAGCGTGGACACTGACAGCTGACTGGTTTGTCTGTTATACAAACACACACATTTAGCGTCTAGTGCCCATACATACATCCTACAGCCAACTCCACCAGCGTGGACACTGACAGCTGACTGGTTTGTCTGTTATACAAACACACACATTTAGCGTCTAGTGCCCATACATACATCCTACAGCCAACTCCACCAGCGTGGACACTGACAGCTGACTGGTTCGTCTGTAACACAAACACACACACTGTAGCATCTAGTGCCCATACATACATCCTACAGCCAACTCCACCAGCGTGGACTGGTTTGTCTGTAACACAAACACACACACTGTAGCATATAGTGCCCATACATCCATCCTACAGCCAACTCCACCAGCGTGGACACTGACAGCTGACTGGTTCATCTGTAACACAAACACACACACTGTAGCATCTAGTGCCCATACATACATCCTACAGCCAACTCCACCAGCGTGGACACTGACAGCTGACTAGTTCGTCTGTAACACAAACACACACACTGTAGCATCTAGTGCCCATACATCCATCCTACAGCCAACTCCACCAGCGTGGACTGGTTTGTCTGTAACACAACCTTATGAACTGCCCATAGAGCTTATTATACAGCAGCCCTATCCCACAAGTTTAAATGATTGAAAACTTATGACCTACTTGTTAAAAAGCAGTTGGCTTAGCATCTGTTTTTCATACAATTTAAACTGTTTTAATAAATCATATGCTTAACAGACAGGCTAGTTAGGCTTTGCCTGCTACTTAGTTATTTCTTATTGACGGGCTGTCTAGACATGACATATAAATCTACCATGACTTTGAAGGATGATCTAATTTGGTTGGTTAATTGTACTGAATTTAAAGGGGTTAATGAGTGACTTCCGACCAAACCACTGCACTGAATATGTGCCCATGAAAAACAATTTTTAAAAAAACACATATTAATCACGGTAGAATGGCGATAAACCTATTCTATTTCTAAATTTTGAGATGTATCGTTGATTAAACACCGCCAAATGTCATTCAAAACCAATTGCGTTAGCAGTAGGGTTGGGAATTTGACCAAAAAGTGTATTGCGATATATTGCAATATTTAAAAAACATATTGCAATATTATTGCAATATATTGGGAAATAATTTCTATCAAGAGAAAAGCTTTTTTTCATATCCCTTTGACAAATATTAATATGAAAGCTGCAATGTCAACAATTTGGTCAAAATTATGAACCAATTTTAATAAATTGTTCTAATATTTTTATCTACAATCAAATAAAGAGTATAAAGCATTTGTTTTGTCTTTGTTTTGATTTAATAAGGTAAGACTATACATCATGGTATATACATGTCAGTCACAGTCTCCAACCTTTTTCAATCACATTTGAATAATGTTAATTCTCTGAAACAGTTTGAAAAACAATGAAACATTAACATTAACATAAATTTGACAAGAATTATACATCATGACAAACTCCATGTCAGTCATTGTCTCTCATCAAACATTGTGAGAAAAATTACACTCAATGTCAAAAGATACAACTCGTCAAATTTCAAATGTTTTACCACTACCAGTACTGTGATCACAATGAAATGTGTTTTTCTTTAGTATTCTGGATAGTGAACAGCCAGCAAAAACAAGTTAAACAAAGTAAAGTAACATCAAATCCTAGTCTTCATGATAGGTCACGTACGTGTGTGTGTTTGTGTGGCTGCTTGTACTAGTCCAGACTGAATACGTATTTTTTATCAGGTGGTGTTTGAATAATGAGGAAAAAACCAATACGCCAAAAACGTATCGTGATGAATTTGTATTGCAATATACTGGTATACCGATAAAACCGCACATGCCTAGTTAGCAGTTAACAAATAGGTTTATCTTCCTATGTGACACTTTCGGCATACCGATTTTTATTTGTTTTCTCGAGCCTCTTGTGTTTTACAACATAGAGCAGCACTTACTTTGTTCCATCTGTACACTTGATGACAATGGCGTCTACGATTGGTCGCAGGAGATTTTGTAAACGCTGCTGTTGTTGTTTGTCGCGGCACGGCGTGTACGATAACATGGTCCGCATAGCTCTCTGTAGATTAGAAACTCAACATTTATCAAGTGTTCGACATTAAAGGGGTTTCTGAGGTCCTGGGGTCCTTGAGACTATTTATACCTAGGGACCCCCTAAACGTTTAACTTTTAATATGAGGGCTATGACAAGGACCCTTTGGCATTCATGTTTAATTTCACACAATGCCAAAACAAACAAAAGGTCAACTACAGAACTATTCAAGGACACAATTTACTGTAAGCAAAATGTGAAAGATACATTCACCATGTTCAATTTTACCACAGACAATAATCAGTTTGTTTGTTTGTAGAACACTGCACTATTCAGTTATATCACGGCAGTCTGTAAATAATCAAGCTTAGACCAGACAATCCAGTGATTGATATGAACATTGATCCACACAATTGGGATACGATGATCAGTAATTTCATTTCAACCAATAAATCAGTGTCTGCTTTCATATAAACATATAGAACAACCAAAGTAGTTTAATATGTAGCATTAATTGATCCTGGCACTCCCAAGGATTGCAATTCTACACAGCACACTGTGCCACCAGTGCACCCTACACCCAACACAGACCCATTACTCCCAAATATAGGGTCATGTGTAGAGATGTGTCTCTGTGTTGTGACTCACCAAGCTGGCCACAAAGACTCGGTAGACAGGATCCCCACACATGAAGGCCAGAACCTTGGAGCAGGTGTCCAGCATCTGCTGGGTTGTGGCCTGGCGGTCAGGGGAGATAAGTACGCCTGAGCGTCCCTCACCCATCCCACGAAGGAGTGTTGCGATGACTTCTTTGCTTAGATGTTTCAGACCAGTCTCCCGAATTGACCAGTTCCGAGAAAACAAACATGAGACAAGATCTTCTCCAAGCACCTGCATTGGAACAGAGAAACAGTGAGATCACAGCAGCAAAGACTGTGGGTGAATGTTGAATGTTTGTTATTCTTCCTGTCTCAGCAACCTGATACAGAAATAAGAAAATAACTGAGAATATACATGTATTACTTGCATCCTTGAAAACATGTTTCTCCCCAGATCTGCATCTGCATTGTGCAAAATGACACACTATTAAAATTCTTCAATAAGAACTCGGTTTTATTACTTCTTTATTATTAAAATTGTCTAAAACTGAATGAACAAAAATTGGAATTACATTTAATAAAACTAAAATAAACTTCTTCTCCAACAGCTCATGTGGATACTATTGTTGTCAAAGATGTTATTGTGCATGTAAAAATGTCTGTTAACATGGTTACAGGTGCAAGAAACTAAAAAAACAAATTCAAAACAATGTGACCCTTTCATGTTGTGAGACATGGAATGATCAGTTTTGGCCTCTAAACCATGTGTTAAACATACCTGTATCCACGGCTCTGCTGTGGGCCTCTAAACCATGTGTTAAACATACCTGTATCCACGGCTCTGCTGTAGGCCTCTAAACCATGTGTTAAACATACCTGTAACCAAGGCTCTGCTGTGGGCCTCTAAACCATGTGTTAAACATACCTGTATCCACGGCTCTGCTGTGGGCCTCTAAACCATGTGTTAAACATACCTGTATCCAAGGCTCTGCTGTGGGCCTCTAAACCATGTGTTAAACATACCTGTATCCACGGCTCTGCTGTGGGCCTCTAAACCATGTGTTAAACATACCTGTTTCCACGGCTCTGCTGTGGGCCTCTGAACCATGTGTTAAACATACCTGTAACCACGGCTCTGCTGTGGGCCTCTAAACCATGTGTTAAACATACCTGTATCCACGGCTCTGCTGTGGGCCTCTAAACCATGTGTTAAACATACCTGTATCCAAGGCTCTGCTGTGGGCCTCTAAACCATGTGTTAAACATACCTGTATCCACGGCTCTGCTGTGGGCCTCTAAACCATGTGTTAAACATACCTGTATCCAAGGCTCTGCTGTGGGCCTCTAAACCATGTGTTAAACATACCTGTATCCACGGCTCTGCTGTGGGCCTCTAAACCATGTGTTAAACATACCTGTAACCACGGCTCTGCTGTGGGCCTCTAAACCATGTGTTAAACATACCTGTATCCAAGGCTCTGCTGTGGGCCTCTAAACCATGTGTTAAACATACCTGTATCCAAGGCTCTGCTGTGGGCCTCTAAACCATGTGTTAAACATACCTGTATCCACGGCTCTGCTGTGGGCCTCTAAACCATGTGTTAAACATACCTGTATCCACGGCTCTGCTGTGGGCCTCTAAACCATGTGTTAAACATACCTGTATCCAAGGCTCTGCTGTGGGCCTCTAAACCATGTGTTAAACATACCTGTATCCACGGCTGTGCTGTGGGCCTCTAAACCATGTGTTAAACATACCTGTATCCACGGCTCTGCTGAGGGCCTCTAAACCATGTGTGAAACATACCTGTATCCACGGCTCTGCTGTGGGCCTCTAAACCATGTGTTAAACATACCTGTATCCACGGCTCTGCTGTGGGCCTCTAAACCATGTGTTAAACATACCTGTATCCACGGCTCTGCTGTGGGCCTCTAAACCATGTGTTAAACATACCTGTATCCACGGCTCTGCTGTGGGCCTCTAAACCATGTGTTAAACATACCTGTATCCACGGCTCTGCTGTGGGCCTCTAAACCATGTGTTAAACATACCTGTATCCACGGCTCTGCTGTGGGCCTCTAAACCATGTGTTAAACATACCTGTATCCACGGCTCTGCTGAGGGCCTCTAAACCATGTGTTAAACATACCTGTATCCACGGCTCTGCTGTGGGCCTCTAAACCATGTGTTAAACATACCTGTATCCACGGCTCTGCTGTGGGCCTCTAAACCATGTGTTAAACATACCTGTATCCACGGCTCTGCTGTGGGCCTCTAAACCATGTGTTAAACATACCTGTATCCACGGCTCTGCTGTGGGCAGGTTGTCTCTAGGGATGGGTTCAGCGTGGGGGAGACGCAGCTCACTCTCCTGTACTGCCTGGGGGGAAGGGGCACGGGTGTTGGGGGGTGCGTCAGGGGGGTCAGAGTCTGCTGGAGTGCTGGAAAACCAGGAAATTCACTTAGAAATAGCTCCCTCTTTAATACATGCAACAACCATTACAAATACCAAGTATATGTATACTGCAATGACATCCCTCCCTTATATTGAGGAGAAAGGTTGGTTGGTTGGTTTGTTGTTTAACGCCGCACTCAGCAATATTCCAGCTATATGACGGCGGTCTGTAAATAATCGAGTCTGGACCAGACAATCCAGTGATTAATATCATGAGCATCAATCCACGCAATTGGGATCGAAGACATGCATCAACCAAGTCAGCGAGCCTGACCACCCGATCCCGTTAGTTGGAATCTTCACGGGTCAAGGAGAAAGGTATATATCTGGGCTAAAAAGACTTCCAAGAATTATGACCAACAATGTTGGTCATAGTAAACACATGAAAAATTTCAAAACATAAAGTAGCCAAATGTCATTGAACATGAGACAGGATGCTGTCTCTGCATGCATACAGTTCAATACACACTGAAGTAAAATCCTATTTTATATGACTTCCAGGAAACAAGTCCTTGTGAAACCCAAAGAGGAAAATAGCCAAGATTAATTCGAGATGACAGTTTCAAAGCCACACTACAGGAAACCTTACTTCTTAATTTCGACTGTCATGGTCTTCCACTGGGCTCGACACAGGGGGCAGATGAGAGGTTCATTCTGCCTCCTACACTCCTCAAACCCTGCAACATATACACACATTCAACAAGCATCAACAAACAGGACAATCACATTCAAATCAGATCCTAGTTCTCACTACTGCTAAACAAAGATCTGAGGACATCCCATTAGGGTCACGTCAGACAGACCTTGCGCGAACTTTGACCGACCAATTAAATAACCAATCAAAAACCAGATTTCTCGTGCTTTACAGCACAAATTTCAAATTGGCGACTACGCTTCGAAACATATTTGGACAAATTATCGATTACAAATTTGAAACCTGAACAAAAAAACATTCTGGAATGACTAACAGATGGTCTAGAATGTAAGCATTCAGTTGTTAAACCCGTAACTATCGTTCGGAATACCCCATGTTAAAGTTTTCGAGATTGCATGATTCAAAATCACATTCAGACAGTCACTTTCATAATCTGGTAAGCGACGCTATGATTGGTCGGATGAAAGGTCGTTCTGACGTGACCCCTAATGGGATGTCTTCAGATCTTTGTTTAGCGGTAGCGAGAACTAAGGTCTGATTTTAATGAGATTGCAAACAGGGTTGCTTTGTGTAGTAATAATCATGATAATACACAGGTACCAAGGAAGGTGAATAATGTTTTCAGAACTATTGAAGTGAAATTAACAAGCCAATCAAGACATTGAAAATTGTCCTTCAAAATCATCATAATTATATTCTGCTGGAATTTCATTGCCCAAGGTCAAAGATGTCGTAGTTGTTGCAACACTTACATATAGCAATACAGTGATGGTGGAGGCGGTTGTGACAGCCGTTCTCACACTTGAGCAGACTCTCTCCCTCCAGCATCTCCAGGAGACAGATGGGGCATGTGTCCTCCTCCTCCCGCATACTGCTGCAATCACAGACCGCCACGATCACACACAGATATAGATCATAGAGACATCACACACACAGATCACACAACAGTCCAGGGTCAAACAGAGACCACACTGAGATCTTAAATAGAAATCACACAAATTATATGATTCATACATTGAGATCACACACAAATCAGGGGCACAGGTGGCCCAGTCGTCCGAGGCACCGCAATTCACTGTTGAATCCCATGGGCACGCCAGAAACCTGTGATTGTGAGTTTGAATCCCAGTTCACCCCGATTATCTTTCTAGGTTTGTCAGCACCATGCTGGTGGGTTTCACCCAAGTGGTAAACGTCTGAGATCTGCATCACTTCGGGCTTTCTTCCCACATTAAGCTGACACGCTGTGATATAACTGGTATACTGTTATACACAACTCACTCACTCACTCATTCACAGATCCCACACCTGTCATAAATAGAGATGCCACACAGTGATTCTACACTGAGATTCCATACAGATCCTATGCAGAGAATACAGTCAGTGACCTCCCATATGGAAATCATACAAACACATACAAAATACACAAATGAGGAATCATGTGTACACCATGTACACTTATCAACAATGAAATAAGACTGAGAAATAAATAGCATTTCCGTAATTGTAGGACAACATTGTTTCCTTACTGTCCAAACATGATACAGTAAACTACGTTTATAGCGACCATGTTAATAAACTGGTGGATATAACAAACTTTTTTTTGGTCCTGTTCATTTTTTGTGTATAGTCTGTATATATATGCTTATAACATATGTGACTGTATAACCAACTACAGTTACCGTATTCGACGTAATAAGCGCCCAGTGCGCTCTTAAAATTAGAAATAGGGGGCGCTTATTAAAATATTATTTTGGTGAAAGATCTTAAGTTTCCTGGTTTATGCTGACAGCCTAAAATGTTTACATACGACAGATATATTTATCCAGAATTTAATTGCCCATAATTAACATGATTAAGGGTGCATATAACACGTATTATACACGAATAAATAAGTCTTGTGTACATTGATCAATTGGAAGGGGTGCTAATTGGGATTGTTCACTAGCCAATATATTCGCAAATATCGCTGTGGGCGCTTATTAGAGTGGGTTGCTTATTACGTCGAATACGGTATAACATGTATAACAAACTAAAATTAGTGGTCCCTTTTAGTTTGTTATAACTGTATTGTACAGTATATCCCGAATGTAATTTGAAAGCAAAGGAAAGCTTTTATACAGATCATTTCCTCATGTGACTAGTGCCTGTCATGAGAAATAATTTTCAGATGAAATATGAATATTATTTATATAACATAATTCCAATCTGAGTTGTGCACCTCAGCCAAACCACCACAGTGAATGATGTTGATGGCCTAATGTCATAATCACATGACAACAAACATGTGCCTATTCCATGACAAAGTAGGGGCAGAGGGGTAGCCAGCCTAGTGGTTAAAGCGTTTGCTAATCACGCCAAAGACCCGGGTTCGATTCCCCACATGGGTACAATGTGTGAAGCCCATTTTCCGGTGTCCCCTGTCGTGATATTGCTGGAATATTGCTAAAAGCAGCGTAAAACCATACTCACTCACTCCATGACAAAGTATAATTCCTAATAAGAAAACATCTAGTCAGTAATACATACCCCTGTCATTTATACTGAACACACTCCTAGAAATATTACACAAATAAGCATCTGTTGTCTCTCCTAGGATGGTCAACTTGTCACAATATGACTCAATCAGTGAAGAAAATGTAAGGGCTATTCTTGAGAGGTGAGTCAGTCAAGGGAGATAACTCATCAGTCACTAAAGTTTCCTGTTTCCAGCAAGGTTTGTTTCACATCTCTGTCAGCAGGATGACATTGCTGATATCAATAGTAAGCAAACTTTAATTCTAATCAGCAAGGAAATGGAGGCAGTCATTTGTGAAATTTAATTCAGAGTGAAGAACGAAACAGAAACCTTTACCAAGATGAATACAAAATATTCACCAGTAATCAGCATCACAAGTATTGTCATCGAAGGCATGACTGATTATTTATCAACATTCATATCCGACCCATTGCTGACCAGCTTCTGCACAGGGGGGCAAGGAGGATTATGGGGTAAGTCATTGTTATAGAAAACATTTGGTAAGTTGGTTTGTTTGGAGAGTCTGATTTTTTGTATGTATATTAACTGTTAGAAGGTTCACTATTTGTCATCAAGGAAGAATGTAAGCATGCAACACGTTGGTTGTTGGTTTGTTGTTTAACGCCGCACTCAGCAGTATTCCAGCTATATGACGGCGGTCTGTAAATAATCGAGTCTGGACCAGACAATCCAGTGATTAATATCATGAGCATCAACCCACGCAATTGGGATCGATGACATGCATCAACCAAGTCAGCGAGCCTGACCACCCGATCCTGTAGTTGCATTACGACAAGCATAGTCGCCTTTTACGGCAAGCATGGGTTGCTGAAGACCTATTCTACCCCTGATCTTCACAGATTAGTCAGCATGTAAGCATGCAGTGTGAACAACTGATCATGACCGGAAATAGAAGAATATAGTTGATGCTCTACATTTTAATTTATGATCTGCCAAAACTTTACTAAAATGAATTTGTAATATTAAAATCACAAATTTGATTTTCAAATCATTGGTTTGAAACTGTAGCCAACCAAACAATGATGATGTTGATAAACATGAGCATCACTCTAATGAAGATGCTGTTTTTAAATAAAGTCTTATGAGGCTTTGTACTCAGGCAATAACTTTCTAAAATATAGTTCGGGCTGGCAGTGTTTTTTTGCTTGCTTGTTCAAACTAGTACGTAACCAAATAAACAGTCGTGTACCATCAACCTGGGAAAGGGCCTCCCTACAGAAACAAGCATACAAAATCCTATTGCCGCCATGACTATAACATGAGATGCTCAGTAAAGCAGTGCACATGTAAAGGGAAGTAACTGTGTGCTACGTTGGATCACATTGTTTTTAAGTATTAGGCTTTTGGAAATACAGTAAACTACGGTTATAACGAACTCAAAGGGACTACTAATTTTAGTTCGTTATAACCGTAGTTCCTTATAAGTACATATACAGCATAACTACAGCACATAGTCGGGACCAAAAAGTAAGTTCGTTATATCCGTCAGTTCGTTATAAGCGTGTTCGTTATAACCGTAGTTTACTGTAGAAACAAAATGTGCGGCAGACTTTAGGATGATGCAGGTGGTGCCTGAGAAGCAAGACTATTATCTTTTTAAGCCTTATGGTGGAGGTGAGGATGTGAGGCAGCCTACCCCGTGTCACTCTCTGAGGGCAGGCTGGTGTTTTCAGCTGAGCTGTTGACAGTATCTTCTTGTTGCTGTGCTGTTTCCTTCTTTCTCTCTTTCTCCAATCGACGACTATGGATACGGGATGATCGTCGGTCATGGTAGATTCGAAATAAATTTTCCACCTGAAGTGTAGAAGGACATTCAAAGATTGTCAGAGTCAAAGAATACTTGTCGTTTTAATCTAGACGTCTAGACTGTGTAACTGAAAAGATGTGCATGGCAGTCTTCAGCTGACATTCTCGAGCAGCTACAGGTCACACAGCCATCACTCCTGTATGATGGACACCGCCTCTGTGGTCTAGTGGTAGAACGTCCGCCCGGAGAGCGGAAGGTCCGGGGTTCGATCCCTGACCCGCGTCATACCAAAAGACGTTAAAAGATGGTACTTGTTGTTACCCTGTCTGGCGCTCGGCATTAAGCAGCTAAAACAAGGACTGGTCGGCTCGGAGTCAGAGCGCGCGCGCGCACGCACGCACGCACGCACGCACGCACGCACGCACGCACACACACACACACACACACACACACACACACACACACATTATAAATGAAATCTCTGCAAAGCCATCACATTAGTCACAATTATACAATATATATTTTTTCTGTCTAATCATGAAATTGGATCTTCCTAATTCTTAGTATCAGAATCTTTACTGAATCTGCTGCAGACTTGAGTCCGAATATCAACCTCTGAACAGGTCGAGATAAATCACTGGGAACACATTTGTTTGCTGTTTTACACCTCGATCAGCAATATTTCTAGAGCCATTACAATAGAGTCAGGGCCAGTAATGTCCCATGCGAAGGGGAACACTGACTCGCAATCAGTCAAGTCACGAATCCTCACCACCTGATCAATTCAGTCACAGACAAGCACAGGTTGCCGGGGGCCTATTCTAACCCGGAATCACAAAGGACTGTATCTTATTTAGTTCCAGCAAACAACAAACAACAGAGTTCTAATCCCAGTTCTCTCAAGGCTGCAACTGATGAATTTATCTTGGTAGTACCGTATATCGCTGTGTACAAGGCGACCCCACGTATGAAACAACCCCCCTGTACACGCCTTCAAAATCAACCCAAAATGCTATACTCTGTGTATAAGGCGACCATCACAAGCGCGCACACAAACCTTATATATATGCAATAAAAATATGTTTATCTTTTATTGGTTATTTTCATTAAGGACGAAATGCGAAGTTTTATTGTCAGATGCTGGGCTGGCTATCGGACGCCGGTTGACATCGCCAGTGGAAAAAAATGTGAGATCTTCGACTCCATGTATTAGACGACCCCCCTTCTTACCCCCCTCATTTAAGGTACGAAAAACTCGCCTTATACACAGCGATATACGGTATGTTTTCTGAGTATGTATGTATCCGTGATCACCGGTATACTGGAGCTTGTACTTACTTCATAGTTTTTAAGTGTCTTGCTCCAGAGGCAGTTGTCGTTGTGTCGGACCTGGAATACCCTCAGCATGACGAACAGCACGTGGACACAATGGGGGTGACGTCCACAGCTGCAGGTCTGGTAACAGTAAAAACAGTAGCACATGTACTGGGTAACATCCTAGCATACAGTCAACACACGCTCAGCAATATTCCAGCTATATGACGTGGGCCTATAAATAATCGAGTCTGGTCCAGACAATTCAGTTATTGATATTGTGGCAACAAGAAAATCGGGAAACTCATGTTCTTTTAAATCAAAAGACAAAACTAGTAGACCCGACTATGAAGATAGTGGCGCCGAGTCTAGTAACACTGGAGACATAACACTTCAAAGGAAATCGGGGAGAAGATAAAAGGGCCCACTGAAATTCATCTTCCCGAGGTAAGAGAGTTAAAAGTCCAGTTTCCACCCTTGCCGAACTAGGCTGGAATTCCTGGGCTCGATCGTAGCGCCACCAGTGGTTATTATAAGTTATGTCTGTTCTGAGCCTCTCCTATGGACCAATCCACTTGCATTTGTTTTAAACACAATGGCGGCGCCCAGTCAAGACGATCTTATCGATAATCAAGATCTATATTGTGATAAAACGGGTCTTACATCACGAACAACATCAAATCACGCGAGCACATTGATTAAAAACATGCAAAGGTTTGGAAAATATCTGTTGACAATGAGTTGGCGGTGCACATGCTTTGCAAATCCTGCAATCGACCGAAATCTGCACGACAGTTTACTAACCGGATTTTGATTTTGTTGCGAGATTTTGATTGGACTATGCATAGACTCGTTAGTCCAGCCAAATGTAACTCCATAATACCAGCCTAGTTCAACAAGGGTGGAAACTGGACTTTAAAAGTCAGTTAACTCTCTTGCCTCGGGAAGATGACTGAAATTAAGCAACAGGGGCCTAAGGCATATTTAGATTATTTTCCAAAGTGATCCATGCAATATGTACAGAATATTAACCTGAACAGTATCAGAAAAAAGTATATTCAACTTTGATATGCACACAAACAGAAAAATAAATGTCTACATGTCTCAAAGTAAGATCCCGGCTCAAATGTGGCAAGTTGCTTACCTGCGGTCCGATGATAACACGGAACTTGTGGTCTGGAGAGTCCCCGCCGATGAGGAAGGAATTTGGGCCCATTTGTTGTAGCAGGTAGAGCCGGGCGCGCTGCACCCGCTCGATACGTTTCTTGGACAGTTCACTGTTGGAGGCTGGGTCGATGAGAGGGTTGGACAGGTTGCGTCGACCCGATACTGGTTGACCCGGAGTGGGTTGACGAAACTGAAACAATGTAGAGGATTTCCAGAGATGCTGATACTGTAATTGAGGATGTAAATTTAACGGGTACCCACAGGACTACCTGGTACTAGGGCTGGGACGGGTAACTCGGGTACCTGGGTCGGGTAGGTCATGAGTAGGACCCAGGTACCCACAGGTCTACCTGGTTTTAAGGCAGGGACGGGTAACTCGGGTACTCGGGTGGGTCCTGAGTAGGACCCAGATACACACAGGACTACCTGGTACTAGGGCTAGGACGGATAACTCGGGTACCTGGGTCGGGTAGGTCCTGAGTAGGAGCCAGGTACCCACAGGACTACCTGGTTTTAAGGCAGGGACGGGTAACTCGGGTACTCGGGTGGGTCCTGAGTAGGACCCAGATACACACAGGACTACCTGGTACTAGGGCTAGGACGGATAACTCGGGTACCTGGGTCGGGTAGGTCCTGAGTAGGACCCAGATACACACAGGACTACCTTGTACTAGGGCTGGGACAGGTAACTCGGGTGGGTCGGGTGGGTCCTGAATAGGACCTGGCTACCCACAGGACAACCTGGAAGTAGGGCTGGGACGGGTAACTCAGGTACTTTGATGGGTCGGGTGGGTCCTTAGTAGGACCTGGGTACCCACAGGACTACCCGGCCCCGTGGTTCGTCATGTGATATATGGTTATATGGCATTAACAATAAAATTTGATGGTTACACTAGTACAAGTCGCAAATGTTTGCATTTCTTTCTGACTGTGTGCACGTTCTTCTTGACTTGTTAAATGTTTGAGTAAAAACAAAGCTTCAGTCAACTTCAGTGTATGTACAATCAGATCAAAACACTTTTTGTACCCAACCTCGGGTACCCGAATAGGGTCGGGTACCTGGGTAGTACATTTGGACTCGTTCCAGCCCTACAGCAATACAATACTCACAGAATTGGAAGGTGAGACTTTCTTGCGTGGAACCCCCGAGAGAATCGGCTGTGAGTTGACGACTTGCTGTGTGAAGGCCGACTCTGCTCCGGGGTTTGTGTTTCTTCTCTTTAATCCACTTGATATGCTTAGAGGAATCTGAAGACATAATTAGTCACTGTCATTGAGGTGTGGGGGGCTTATCTATACCTGAGCAGAGACTGAGCCCTAAGTCTGCAGCAAATAAGTAAAAACAGTAAAAACAGCATAAGAAACTAACATGTCTAGTCCACTAGTCCTTATAATGATAACATAAAGCAAAAGCCTTAAAATAGCAAATTTCTACTTGTCCTTATGATGCTTTAACTATTGGGCAGTTTATAGGACTAGTGTCAATTTCTATCATTTAAAAAAAATCACAATTTGATTTTCCAATTTTGAACAATAGCTAGATTTCTTCTCAGTTTGCCTGCCAAGGGCACTTTGTTTGAAATCCTCATAAATCCCTGGGTGTTCAACATGGCTACACTCATGCCTTCTGCTTGTACACATTTGTCAACATACAACTGATTTTTGTTTCCAATTTATTCACCATGTTAATTATGACTCATCATGCTCATGTTATCATGGTTATGTTTGATTCATAATTTACTCTTATCCAGATATCATGCACTTCCTGTATTTGACTTTAGCCACTAGTCTCATGCCAGTCTAGTAATGTATTTAGGTAAAGTTAGATTAGTTTAGTTGTTGCCTTTATATAAAGAATAAAATCTACCGTAGAAGTAAAAGTTCAGGCTGGTATACATCAACAAGAATTAAATTCAGACTAGCCATTACATGGTGTGTTTGCTTAAGAGACAGAAGAATCATAATGCTTTTGTTTTAAGCAACAATCTGCACTGACACCAGGGCCCACTTGATTCCAACATTGGTACCATGTATGAAGCCAATTCTTGTTGTCTCCAGGGCCCACTTGATTCCAACATTGGTACCATGTAGGAAGCCAATTCTTGGAGTCTCCAGGGCCCACTTGCACAGAGCGATCTTAGCGCTAAGATTTTCGTAAGCCTACGTTAAAGTATGGATGTTACGATCATCTTAGCGAATTGGCTTCAAACATGGTACCAATGTTGGAATCAATAGCAAACAGAATTGATTTCCTACTTCCCAGACTTTTGAGTCTACTGACCTGAACTGGTCACTCGACATACTTTTCAGTAGATTTTAGTGTTATGTATGGATTTTTATAAGCAAAGCTTAGCTGGTCGAAAGAAATTTTACTAGACTTCGGCTTTGGACTAGTGGCCAATGTCACTGTCTGTTACCCTACCTTCCTATCAAAAAAGTTAAAAACATATAAAGTCTTTGAATGGCATTTAAGGATGTCAACTTCTTTATTATGACGACCACAACATTTCAGAGTATATGCTCACATTCACCTAATGGAGGAGCAAGCCTATACTCTGAAACATCAAATCTATTCATGCAAAATGCTCAAATATTATTCACAATGACAAGACTGGGACTGTGCACCAGACCACAGAGCCTGCATCATGTGTCTAGTGGCTGCATGTGGAGGCATGGTGCACCGACACCCTGGCTTACCTGTGATGGAGCTACCGACGCTGCAGATCCATTGCTGTGTCGAGTGTACTGAGGACAGAGATAATTTTCAGAATTTGATAAAAAGAAGGTCCCTTCAAATACATTTACTAGAATGCGTTTTTGCTCTCCCAGCTCCTTTGTTTTTGATACATTAGTTCAAGTTGTTACTGTAAATCACTACTAAATGTGCTTGCAAGTCCCCAAAACAATACTAGCAAATTAAAGCCGACAAAGATAATGGTAGGAAACAAACGATACTCGTTTAAGATTTAGTCCAAATTGTTTCCATGGAAACAACAAATTAAAAAATCTAAAAATCTAAAAATATGAAAAGGCAATCGCTGAGCATATATTGTCATTGCAAATGTATAGTTTAATGCAAAGATAATGAATTAGTTTGAAACAAAGCCAGAGTTGTCCAAAAAATGTTAAAATTTTCAAAATAGAACAGGACACCAGTGAAGCTCACGAGCAATGCATATCCCAAGTTTTGTTGAAATGTTTTGAATTGTTTTCAAGATATGGCCTGGAACGACCCCTTCCTTGTTTGAGACTAAGTTGTTTCCATCATGTCTATGAAGATATAAAACAACAACCAATTTCGAATTATTTAAAAATAGCAAATCACACCAGTTAAGCTGATGAGCAATGCATATGGCAAGTTTCATTCAAGTTATCACTCGGAATAAGATGGCAACATCTGTGCCGAAGCTCACAGGAATGTCTCCCCTCCCTTTTTGATTGTGGGTTTCAATCCCGGTTCATCTTCATTATGTTTCTAGGTTTGTCAGCACCGTGGGGTTCATCAAAGTAGTAAACGTCTGAGACCTGCATCACTTCAGGCTTTCCTCCCACATTAGCTTACATGCCATGATATAACTGGAAAACTGTTCAAAGCGGCAGTTTAACCCAACACACTCACTCGCTCACATGTATTATGATCACTGCATTCCAGACATCCTATCTGTCTAACAACTATGAGAGTTCACGCAAAGAGCGTGCTTCAGGTTGTTAAAAAAATGATTTATAACAATTGATTGGTTGCCAAACAATATGTGTTTTCAGATTTGTGGGTTTTATGGAGTATTCGATGCCTGGATATTTCATTCAGGACTGACAAATGTTAGCAAGAGGTTTCAAAGTAAGTTTGTGGGCATTGAATACTCAACCAAACCCACAAATGTGAAAATGTATAATGTTAATCTCCTATAAAGCAAGAACTGGGAGTGAGTGAGTGAGTGAGTTAGGTTTAACGCCGCTTTTAACAGTATTCCAGTTATATCGCAGCATGTCAGCTTAATGTGGGAGGAAAGCTCAAAGTGATGCAGGTCTCAGACGTTTTCCATTTCACTGAAACCCACGGGCACAGATATGGTGCTGACAAACCTAGAAACATAATCGGGGCAAACCGGGATTCAAATCCACAATCATAGGTTTCTGGCGTGCCCAAGGGACACAACTCTGCACAGCGAATCGCGGTGCCTTAGATGACTGGCCCACCCATGCCCCCAAGAACTGGGAAGGAAGTGATTGATGTCTTACTGAAGGCCTTGTTTTCTTCTTCTCCAGCAGATCTTTCTTCCAGGCCGGCATGGACTTGAGCCGCTCTCTAATCCTCCCGTCATCCAGACGTTCTTCCTTGGCCACGATGGGGGGCTTTTTCTCATCTTTCAAAATACTGCAACAAAATAAGTATCGATAATGAAAATTTCCCCCATTTATCATTATATGAGTGAGTGAGTGAGTGAGTGAGTGAGTGAGTGAGTGAGTGAGTGAGTGAGTGAGTGAGTGAGTGAGTGAGTTGGGTTTAACGCCGCTTTAAACAGTATTCCAGTTATTTACAGCATGTCAGCTTGATGTGAGAGCCGGAAGTGATGCAGGTCTTAGATGTTTAACCACTTTGTGAACCCCACGAGTATGGGTATGGTACTGACAAGCATAGACACAAAATCTGGACAAATCTGGTAATTGAACCCATAATCAAAGATTTCTGGTCAGGGTTAGCATGGTTAGAAACGAATTATCATATTCATTCATCAAAAAAAATAATCTGCTATCCAGTGGCAAGAAAATGCCACTGATTCTTCATAAAAATTTTCAAATCTCAGACAAGTGATTTTACGCTAATTTTGTACACTGTTGGCACACCAGTGGGATGCAACTCAAAACATCCTATTGTGCCAAACACACTCTTCCTCTATTCCGGTTCATGGTTTTCAATGAAGCATGGGATTAATACTGATGAGCCATGGTGGTATGCAGTTTCTCACTTAACCAACCCGTACTTTGAGTCAAAGAGATAGACTGCGTGTGTTTGTGTTTATCACCCAGCACTCCAACTATACGACGACAGGAATAGACAGACTCTTGGAAGCAATGTTGACGTGATTTATTTAAACTCCTCTCATACTTTTCAAGGGTAGGTCCATTGTAGCACATTCATTAAGAGGATGAGTGGAATACAGTAGACTATTTCAAACAACTCTTCCAATGACTTTAGAAATATGTTTTAAGGGCAGGATTATACTCAAGGACAGTTACCATGGTTACATATTCGGACAGAATTTCATGGAACCTGTGTTTGTTTGTTTGTTTGTTTGTTATTTAACACTTCGCTCAGCAATACTCCAGCTATATGACGGTGGTCTGTAAATAATTGAGTCTGGACCAGACAATCCAGAGATTGACATCATGAGCTTCGATCCACAGAAATTGGGATCGACGACATGCATCAACCAAGTCAGTGAGCCTGACCACCCGAACCCGTTAGTCGCCACTTACAACAAGCATAGTCGCCTTTTACGGCAAGAATGGGCTGCTGAAGACCTATTCTACCCCGGATATTCAGGGGTCAATGGAACCTGTAAACCAAGTCGAATGACAACACTCATTCTTTTAATTTGTTCTTGTTTTTATTACACCAGAGCTCCTACTATCATCATGATGATTATTGACCAATATTTAGTTCTCTAAGCAGGTTTAGAGTCTAATAATTCATGGTTCTAGCCAACTGCTGGAATAAATAAAATGGACACAAACCGAAATTGCTCAGGTAGGTTCAGTCAAAACTGAGTAATTTCCCCTGTTCAACAGCATAATTAGGGCCAAACCATTCCATCACTGAACACCACAGCTTGCATACTGGGTTATTTATTCACATGCACCATGTATACAGTGTATTCCTCACCATCTTCTCATATTCCATCCCCATCACATGCACAATAAATAGAAAATATTTTCTTTAGCATGTTTAAAAATTCACATTTCATAAACTGCCTCCAGACATTGATCATGTGGGTTCTGACATTTATATATTTTTTACCAACATGTTCAAAATGGCTCCAGACTACCATGTGTACCTTTCTGGGGAAAACATCCAACGGATTGGTCAACAGCTGGTCATGTGATCATGACATCCGTGTGGATAATAAGCATGATCAGAGGAGCATTAATTATATATTCAAGATGGCACAAATTCTACATCACAACTAATAACAGAACTCGATTTAACAACATAAAACATGCACAAGTGCAATCTATTATTGAAAAATGCAACAAAATATTTAGTGCATGTCAACAATGAACATGGTAAAAAAAATCAAAATTTGTTTTAGACTAACATGGACTAACCCTCCCTTCTCCACACAAAATCGATCTATGAACACACTAAATACCTCTAAAGTTTATTTTCCATACTAAATCACTAATCCCTGTGTTACGTGTAATCATGGTAATTGGTCAGGCTTTCATAGGATTGACGCCATCAAAATATGGGTACTTGAAGATTATGTGCACATTCCTATTATGTTTTACAGAACTGCATTGTTAATTTTTGTGACACTTGCAGCAGGCCGGCCTATGTTTCACCTTTGATAAATTTATGGAACCCGGGTGCAACCTGGTTTTGTTTGGTACAATTTGGTTTTCATGGCAACATGTACGTGGTACAAGTTAAATCAAGTTCCTTAAATCGAGCCCTGATTAGATATAACTAATTACCAGGATTATAGGGATAGAAATGTCATTTTTGTCAAGTGTGAAACAAAGCACTTATAAAATTGTTGAGTTGTGGCCGTTTCAAGTAAAGCGTACCCAAAGAATAATTTTGATCTCTCTTCAAACTCCGCCAAACTGGGAATACAAAAAACTCCAAACTAAGGCACTTAGGTATTTCTGGGATAATCAGGGGCTAATATTCATGATATTAGTCGGCAATTTTCAAAAAAATAATCAGTAATCAAAACTAGATGTATCTGTTTGGTTCTATTTGACTAAACATATGATTGCCTTCTGTCACCAAAACCCCTCAAAATTGGTAAACCTTCCCATCACAAACAAACACAAGTAATTGTGATCCATGGGCTATTACCTGGCTGTATCATTCTTGTAAAAGTGTTTGTTTGTTGTTTAATGCAGCACTCAGCAATATTCCGGCTATATGATGGCAGTCTCCAAAAAATCGAGTCTGGACCAGACAATCCAGTGATTGATATCATGAGCATCAATCCACGCAAATGGGATACAATGACATGCATCAAGTCAACGAGCCTGACAACCCAATCCTGTTAGTCACCATGGTCACCTCTTACAACAAGCATGGGTTGCTGAAGGCCTATTCTTCATGGGTCACATGTTATGAACAAGATGAAGTTTGGGTTATCGTAGAAAGAGATGGGGTTACTACAAAGTGATAGAAACTTAACACATCTAAGTACACCTGTCCTAATGATCTAGTGCCACATGACATGTATTAATGTTTTGCCAAGATAAAATTATAAAATTGTCCTGACAAACATGACAAAACAAATTCATAAGGGTTTAGGGTAAAACCCCTTTTTTCCACCAATGAAGTCAAAACTGATCGTAACAACTAGACTGCTCTATATCAGAAAAACACATCTCTCCATTCAAACACAAACTGTAACAATGTGTAATTTGATATGACAAACTTGTCAAACAGGAATGTGCAGACACAATTGTATTGACAGGTCAGTTAAGAAGCTGTCAGAGCACAGAGTACACAACTCTACCTGTGCCTACTGACAAGATTGGAACAGCTAGCACACAACTCTACCTGTCGGTAACAATCAGGATCTTGCCAGGCAACTCCATGTTGACTGTAAGGAGATCCTCCATGAAGGATTGGTCTGTTTGAATGTCTCCCAGCACACCGCCAGGTCACATCAGCTCTGAGTGTATGGACTACCTTGACCCTGGTATTACACTGACTATCTATACTGATCTCTCTAGGTCAACTCCTCATCAGCTAGCCTTGCTCCAAGGCTGTACTGGAAGATAAGTCCATGGATGTGTAGTAATTCTACCCTCCTAATAGGCAAGTCTAGATATGTGGACACTCCAGTCTCTCATCATGTTCATTGGGACAACTTTTTCTTATTATTTACATAATCTATGAATGATTTAAACTAATAATTATTGCCTTAGAGACTTGTGAAAGTCTACTCATGAGAATACATGTGGAGAATCCTTGTTGCGAAATGTTCTATTAATAGATTGAGTGTAACACTCACATCAAATGCAAACTCATGGCTAATAAATATTTCAAAGGGGAGTCGATTGTAGGCATCGTCCATTTTGATTAGTTGAAAGAATTTATTTTCTTTGGGAGTGGCCATAGTGACAGGAATTTCTGAACTGATTTTCTAGAGTTATTTCATACAGCTACCTGTGACTCATCATGAATGCCACACAATGCATTTAGCATGTTCGGTGATAACTTGACACTACCATGATCAGAACACTCGTGAACCAGCTTCTCTGAACACGATTAACGGAAACCTTATGTTCCCGACTTTCAAACTTTAAGAGGAAGAAACTCTAACACTCCATAAGTAGAATAATACCTATTCAGTCAGTAACTTCAGCCACTAGTCCAAAGCCTGAGTCTTGTAAAGATCTCGTCAATCTAGTAAGCTCAGCTAAAATAGTCCACATATTAACACTACAATCTATCAGCTGTTCTATTGAAACTGATGCTAAGAGCCAAGTTAGGGCTGGTAGGCGCAAATGTTTTTGGCACAGACTGCCCATTGTAAAACTATCAAAATAGAAGATGAACATTTTCTGTTCAGATGCCCTCTTTACAAAATATTCAACTACTATCATCCCCCGCGTTAGCTATGTATCCAATTTCACTCAAAATACTTCTAAATCCACCAGCACCTTTTCACTTCGTTCTTTTATAAAATGTGCATGCCAAGAAAATCTGCATCTCCTCTCTAGACCTTAAAATTACCACAGAAGAAGAAGACTTTTATTGTACACAAACACCCACAGGAGACGGTACAGACCTTGAACATAAACAGTTATAAAGAAAGCAAAATGGTCCAATGCATGGGTAATAAGCTTTGGATATGCACAGTGTAATAGAAATATTGCTAACTTATAACCCATGCGGACATATGTTAATTTTGACCTCTGATCAAACATGGCTTAACATAAACTCTGCAGGCTCAATACCCTATATCTGTTGAGAGGAATGACAAGGGATAAAGTTTCAATGAACAGACATCAAACTAGCACTTGACCTGCTAACCGGGACAACTTCAAGGCAAAGTAGTTGTGGAATTATCAACCCAAAGCGGTGGTTATACAATACGTCAAACATTTTTTCAACCATCTGCTGAACGGACAACTGAGACCAGTGCTGACCATCAA